CTTGGTTTTCCTGTCTAATAATTATTAATAAAGTTTGAATAAAAATATTTTTTATAGAGACAAACATTTTAAGAATAAATGGAATGCTTTCGCTTTTAAAACTTAAACAAAATTTAAGACTGAAATAAAAATATCAAGTAGTAAATCTTTTCAAGGCATTCTAAATGCATTTCCAACAAACAGTTGTCTTAAATGTGTTATTTATAAATTTTATAGACTCATATATTTAAATATTATTACTTGTAGATCTCGAAATTGATTTTCTGAAAGAAGAAAATGTTTTTTTATTGCTTGGAATTTTCCAGAAATTGTTAAGGAAAAGTTATTCCATTTGTGTTTTATTGCACACGTGCTGTTTCCTTTACAATTTCTTAGCATTTTTCCAACATATGCGCAAACATTTGCTACCATTTGGCCATTCGAACTTCACTTCCGTTTTGCGGTTTCAGTTTTGACTTCTGTTTAAGGCAGTATCGTTCAAGTCAAGCGCTCTTACAGTGGCGGTGTTTAAGTTCATCGTCTTATCGGGGAAATGTGTTTATAAGTCGCGTTCGGCGACGCATTGAATAACATTTTAATTGGGAGTTGCAAAATGCGTGCCCATAAGCCAAGCAACCAGGGAACACGTATTATGGGGGCCCAAGTTAATAATGACCGTTGATAACATGCACAGGAAAAAACTTGTGTTGTATATGGTTGATACTTTTTACTTTAACACCAATCTGTTATGAAAAAAAACTGATCCGACAACTCTTTGCATGATTATATTTAATGAAAAAGAAATCTGTTTTGGGAATTTTATTCCGAACTGTATTCGTAAGATCGTAAAATTACTATCAATTTTAGATTCAAATTGTTTAAGTATGTTCACTTTCAATAGTTATTTTGTTGCAATATTTTGTGGGTATCACTCGTGTTATTTTCTTTAGAAGCGAAGACATTTTTTGATTGTCTTTGATTGTTTTTTGATTTATTTGGGGCACTCATTTTCTAATTTAAGCAATTAAGCACCTGATTTTCCCCGGTGTAGCAGCTCCCTAAACACCGGACTTAAAGTGGCGCCAGGCCAAGTCGCGTCAGACAAAATGAAATGGCGATTAAAATATCAATTGCCAGTCGCGGAGCTGGGACATCGATGATGATGATGATGATGGCGACTAAGCGCATTAATTTAATGCTCTCAACAGCTGGCCACGCCGTGCATAAATAAAATGTCACTCCATTCCATTCCATTCGATTCCATTCGATTCGATTCCCGACCATCCAAAGGTGCAACATTCGAGCGCTGTCGATTCGGATTTCGATTTGGATTCGGATCGAGATTCCTATCCGACGACAGCACTTTCCCTCGCATCGCATAATTCAATGTCGCAAGTGGCGGCCAACTTATGAGCGACTTGCACTTGGCTCTTAAATCAGTCAGCGGACTGCAGGCAGCTGCATCTTCGGGCCGGTTGACCTTTAGCGTCAGCTATTTTTAGCCACAATCGCGTAATCTTCGGACCCACTCGGAGCTCCGAAATGGAGCCTTTGGGGGCCTTATGAAATTGTGTCAGGCCAGCCATAAATTGCCGGCTTTGGGAGCTTGTCCAGGTGCGGATTTCTGATGCCGCATTTCTGATGCCGCATTTCTGTTGGCGGATTGTGGATTGCGGATTGCGGATCGGACACCTGAAGCGGTTGAAGAAAATTACGGCTGCGACTGTGGACACAAGACACTTTGTCGCAAAGGCATTAAAGGGATTTGGAGTTGGATTTGGAAAATGAAACCAGTCTGGGTGTCCCATTCCCCCTTCCACTGCCCCTTTGCTTCTGGCCCTGACACCCTTTTTTGCAGCCTTTCCAGCGGCTACTCCAATTGCAAATTGCAAAATGACAGAGAGCTTACTTTGCATTGTTTCGCTGGCCTGACAGCAGGCAGAATTTGTTGGCCACTCCGGTTGCAGAGATCGCCAGATCGGCCAGATCGGCCAGATTCCAGATTAGCCTGGCCAACAGTTTCCCCGGCTCTCGGCGGAATTATGCCATAAATAGTTTGGAACGGCCACAGCTGTTGGCTTTTAATTAAATGCTCGCCGGCAAGTGGCTGTGATTAGCCTCTACTTTTGCACAGAAAGAAAATATTTGCATATCCCCCGATCTTTTGTTTTTCAAGTTAATTGTCTTGGAAGTCTAAATTAAGACGAGATTAGGTAAACAAAGATAATTACTCAAGGAAAAGAGTTTATTTTGTAATGAGTACTGGAGTTTCCCAGAAGAATTACATTTGCATAATTGCAGATCTAAAGTTTTAATTATATTGAAACTAAACTAGGTTGTAATGAATTAGGTTGTGATGAACAAATAACAGATTTATTTAAAGGAAAGAAAATAACATAATTTGATCTACCACACACATGATTTAAATCGTATTTATTTAAAAACTTAAACAATTTTGATTAGGTTGCTTGAAAACAGCCCGTTTATTAAAGAAATAATTCAATTTAGTTTAAGTACTTTTTTGTTAGACTCTTTGAAGAATATTTTTAGGTGTGCCTTCTGGCACAACATTGGTAGTAAGTACTTCACAAAAAACATATTAAGAATCCTAAAAAGCTGTGTAAGCACCGCAGACAGATCGGCTGGTTAATTATTTTTCCGTGTGTGCAAACCCAATGGAGAACCTGTCGTCGCGGCCCACGGTTTGGCAATTAAGCAAAACGCTCCGGCTTCTAACTGGGTCAGCCTGCAGGATGACGGCAGCTGAAACATTCAGGCACCAGGCACCAGGCACTTGCATCCGACTTGGCAACTATCTATTGGATAGGCGATGGCTGGATGGGCGAGTGAGTATCCGCGGCCCACGCGAAATAATCAAACAGAATGATGGGAAATTAAATGTACAAATCATGTTTACGACTTGTCGTCAGTCTGCCCGAAAAGACGGGCGGCACAGCGGCGGTCTGACAGTGGGCGTGGCACCACTCATGCCAGCTAATTGTTGTTCGTGGCTTTGGCAAAATGTTGCCCAAGCTGGAAACGAAAAAAAAAACTAAAGAAATGGGCAAAAAATCAGCAAGCGAACCCGAGCCACATTGACACCATTTGCAATTAGGAGAAAAGTGCTCCGTCGGCTACTGAAGATGTGGCTGTGGATGTGGATGTGGATGCAGATGAGGATGCTGCTGGATGCTGGATGCTGGAAGCTGGCTGTTGGTTGTTGGCTGTTAAAAAATCTAAATAGCTGAAAACCGGTAGCCACAACGTGGGCCGCAGTTTTGTCTTAAAAAGTTAATTGCCTGATTTGCTCAGCCTCTCCAGCCGGGAAGTGAGATGTATGGGCTGTTGGCTGTTTGGTTGTTCGTTTGGTTGTTTGGTTGTTCGGTTGTTAGCCAAATGTGCTAAGCGATAATCACATAAACAGTGGCCTTAATGAAGTTGGCGCGTCGTTCGCACTCGCCGAGATGCAGAAACTGCTTCCTTAGGTGATTCTTATTTATAGAACCCACTGTTCGATCCCGACTTGAACTGCAAATTGCCGGCTTTCTGCCGAGAAAGAGTGAGAGACAGAGATCATTAAAATGGCCTGCATGCACCATTGACTGTTGACTGACGCGATCTGTAATTTATAGATCAAGTCCCCCTGTCGATAATGTTATTAAATCCGCAGTTGTGAGCGCTTTTGATTAATTGAACCGTTTGTGAGAAATGATGAGCGAGCCAAGGAATGTTCATGCCAATTGCCGGTTGACTCGGGTCGTTGTTCTGCCATGTTGCGGCAGTTGTTGCAGCAGTTGTTGCTGCAGTTGTTGCTGTTGCCTCATGTTGCTCGTTGCCCGTTTGCCGGGTTGCCGGCTGCCAGGTTGCCTGTTGCCAGTTGCCTTGCGGTTTTGGCCATGTTGCGTTGGCATATCAATTCACATGTCAGGCCGCCAGGCAGGCGAACAGCAGCAACCTACTTATTTATGCAGCAGACCGGGCCAACTGACTCCAACTCCAGCTCCACATCTCCGCTCAAAACTCCAAGCAGCAAACTCCGATTCCTAGCCAACAACTGACTGATGGCCACGTTCTGACTTCGGCTCGTTGGCCATGCATCCTGCGGCTAAACAACTCAATACATCAGCCATCCTCCCCTCCACTCCACTTCGCTTTGCTCAGCTTTCCTGCCCCGGCATAAATCATTTTATGCAACGAAATTATGGCAAATATCGCGGGATTACGACCATGTGTGCCGATCGCTCCCATCAACATTGCAGCACCTCGATGCCGCGATACTTCGATACCTCGATCGGTTCGGTTCGGATCGGATCGGATCGATTGGGCTGGGTATTCTATACTATGGGGTTTTTAGGTACAGAACCCCGCCCACTCGCCACGCGCTTTACGAGGTTAAAAACTCAGGGTGACGTATCATCCAAATTAGTCATCACTTCGTTATTTCTTTTCAAAGCAAAATTGCGTTCTAAAATCGTTTGCCACACACGTTCTGAAAACTAAATACATGGCTATATGGAAAAGTAAATAATATAATTTAACTAAACAGTGGGTGATATGTTTACTTGTCTAAGGAGCTCAGTTTAATTTCCAACCTAATACCGAAAACATGAAAAAATGTGCTGTGCATTTGTGATTTTACTCAAACTAGTTTCACTTCGAAAGTATTTAAAATCGTTTAATAATTAAAAATGATTAACAATTGAATAACATTTTTTGAAACTTTTGAACTTGCTTGTTAATTTATTAGTGTAGTTATTATTCTTTAATAGTTTAATGACTATGGTTAATAAAAAGTTGTATACACATAAACATAAAGTAAAACAACTTTACTTTATAAGTGCAAATCTATCACAGATATCATTTATAACATATTATCATGTTTTATAGATTTATGTTTCTTTATTTAAAATGAATTTAAAGTCATTAACATATTTTTTATAGTATATATTTTTATATAGTTTTTATATATATTTTTTCTCCTTTACTCACACTTCCGTTTCCCCTTCCTTTGCAATTTGCAGGCAGCACCACGGAGTTGGCACCTTCGCTGCTGGGCATCTACGACACATTGACGAACAGCTTGGCCGCGGGGGGCGTGGCAGCAGCGGCACCCACTGCGACATCCCACGAACCGAAGGCTTCCAGCAGCGGCGACTCCACGCCGAAACGCAGCAACAGCAACTGCAGCAGCAGCAGCAGCAGCAGCAGTGGCACTTCCTCATCGGGTGGCAGCTGCTCGAGTGTCCCCACCAGCGATGACCAGACTGCCAGCTACACGCTAGCCAGCTCCAACCACTCCATCCACTTGGGCCACCAGGAGCCGCCTGCACCGCTGGTGGTTGCGGGACTGCGCGACGAACCGGATGGCGCTCAGCTGAGCCGCCTGGTGGTGCAGCGCAGGAGCCAGGAGCCGCAGGTCCACGGCAGCAGCAGCAGCCTAGCTTCGAGTGGCAGCAGCAGTCGGCGGGGCAGCAACATCCGCGTCCTCTCCCCGAACGTCCATCGGATAATCACGCACTCGGAGATCCAACCGGTGGAGGCGGTGTCCGCCGAGGCACTCAAGCAGCACCAGCAGCAGAGCCAGAGGAGTCCCACCCAGGGAAGGTACATTAAGACAGGAGTTAGTACCTCCACTCCGGTGGGTGGTTCCACGCCCAAGCTGAAGCTATCCCACATACCGCTGTCCAAGATCACAGGGAAGCTATCAACCCAATCCGGCAGCGAACTGGTGTCCACCTTCGACTCCAGCAACGAGTATCTGAACTCGGTGGCCTTCGCCGCCTTCGAGAGGTCGTCCAAGTCGCAGGACGAGGATCGCACGCCCACCAACAAACCCGTGCCGGGAACTCCCTTCCACTTCGATGGGCATCCCTTCCAGGGAAGGAAACTAACCCTGCCCCGCTACGAATCCCAGCAGAGCATCAAGCTGATCGAGATGGAGCAGCTGGCGGCCACCAGTGCGCAGTTGCAGCACGCCCAGCCTGCCACTCCTGGAACCCCAGCCACACCCACTGCTAAACAGAATCCAAGTCTGCATTCAAATCCGCATCCAAATCCGCATTCAAATCCGCATCCAACTCCTCCCAAGCCGAAGGAGTTCGTGTGCAGTGAGCCACTGAGTCCGGTGGACATAGTGGACACCATCAACTTTGATCTGGTGACGCAGCACATTGAGAGACTCACGCTGGGTGAAACGGAGGAGTTGGATCCGCGGACGGAACTCATTGAAGCGGTGAACAAGACGCTGGTGAGCAAACCGCTGGTGAGGAGCTCCTCCGCCGCCTGTGCCTCCACCATCTGCAGTTCCCCCTTGCTGACCTACGCCCGCACCAAGAGTCTGGGTGCCAAGGCGAGCACTTTGGGTGGAGGGGTGCCCCTCAAGCTTCCCACTGCCGAGCAGCTGGCCGAACTGGAGGAGGCCAACAAGCTATCCGCGGAGAGTCTGGATAGGTTAACCGATATCAAGCCCAAGTTTGCAGCCAGGCTGAGTGAGTTGGCCAGGCTGAACAACCGACCGCTGTCCTCCTCCTCCATCTGCTCCACCTCCTCGAGCTCCAGTTCCGGATCGGATCAGCTGCTCAATGGGAAGCTGACTGCCACCTCGTATCTGGCCAGTGTGGAGAGTCTGGCGGAGAGCGAGAACGAGCTGGGGGATCCCCACCACCCTCCAGCGATGAGTGTCCTCGAGAAGACCTGTCTGGAGATCGTGGACTCGGAGAGAAGTTTCGTCGAGGATCTGGGTCAGGTGATCAAGGGGTAAGTACCTCATTGGTTAAGTTATACATTTCAAGGATCTAATGGGGATATATTTACAGATACCTCCTCGATTGGAAGGAGCGAGCCTGTCTGCGCGTGGACGAATTGCAAATACTCTTCGCCAACATTGAAGAGATTTACGAATTCAACTCGATGCTCCTGCAGCGACTGATCAACACGGGAAGGGATCCCGGGAGGATCGCCAGGTGCTTCATCGACCTGCGCGACGGCTTTGATGTGTACACAACCTACTGGTGAGTAAAAGCAGTAAATGACTCACCGAAAAGTGATTAAATAGGGAATCCCCAAGTTTTCAGTTGCCGAGGGTTACTTTCTTATCAGGTGCCGCACATAAAGATAATAACCTAAGGTTCAAACTTAACAAGGCTTTCTTAATCACACCTATTTAAAGTTCTAATAATAGAAACAACCAAATGGGGAGAACCTAATATTATAACTAGATCTCTGTTAAAGGGACTCAAAATAGTTTTATTGGTGTTATGATCAGCTAATCAAGTATTACCAGTTATGTTATACAGATATTTCTTTACACCTTATACAAATTATAGTAAAGTCTCTAAAGGCGTTGATAAAAAGTGCAACCCTTTTGTAGTCAGAGATTTTAAATAAAATTATTATTTTCATTCTGACAATTATAAAAAAATTATGGTATTCAGATCTCTCTAGTGTGGTTATCACAGCAATTACAATCCATTCAATATATCGATTAAAAGCATTTGATTTTAATATCCGCAGTAGTTTCTCAGGTGTAGTAGACAATTATTAGTGATAATTTATCATTCAAAGACCACAATTAAATGAATTTAGATTGGCTTATTAAGTACTAAAATTAATAATTCCACTTAACGTGGCTTTACTCCTGACCTGCTTGTGGATTCTGAGGGGGAAATCTCCACTCAAGCTGGCGTGTTCGCTCCACCTTCGATTTGTGTGTTTCTCTGGCTCAAAACGCTGTTGCCAAGAACGGTAACGATGGCCAAAACGATCTCGATAGACAGTTGGCTAGCAGCATGACACGAAACCCAACCAAACCAAACGAATAGCCAGCCCATCGATGGCGGCTCTTGGCAATCCAGGCACGCCATGTTCCATTTAAACGCTGGCGTTTACCTGGCTCTTGCCAATTTGGAGAGCGGTTCGCGATGGCAGCGGTTTGATTTGTCGCCCCCAATGACACGCGGCATACATCATCGTGCCTCCCACTGACCATCATGCGAACCAGCTTCGAGCTCCCAGCTCCCAGCGATCTTGCGCGATTTGAAATTCAGATTTAGTGTCCAACCGACCGATGATGAAGACCTAAAGCACATGTCATAAATCCCGATGGCTAACCCTATTCCCATTCCCATTTTGATTCCCATTTTGATTCCAATTTCGATTCCCCGCAGCACAAGCTACCCGGAAGCCATCTCGCTGCTGACCAAGTTGCTGCAGGCCACGCACACCTACTCCCTGCTCGCCTCCACGCAGAAGCTCCTCCAGCACCGCCTGCCCCTCGGATCCTATCTCCTGAAGCCGGTGCAGCGCATCCTCAAGTACCATCTGCTGCTCGATGTAAGTAGGAGGTGAAGGGAAGTGGGTGGAGATCCCAACTGACACAACTCTTTTTTCAAATATAAACAGAGCCTGCGCAAGCACTGCGACCTGAAGGAGGTGGCCGAGGCCCACGTGATCATGCGCCAGGTGGCCCACAACATCGACCAGGTGAAGCGCAAGCAGGAGCAGCAGAGCCGCGTCAAGGAGCTCTCCGGCATTCTGGATGGCTGGCTGGGACCAGGTGAGTGCCGTCTCTTTTAATGGCTTTAAAATAAAAAGCTAAACGTTCGTACTGATCGAAGACACCTGGAGTAAAATTATTACACATGATCTAACTTGGTTTAAGTCTCACGAATAAGTTCATTAAATCCTATAAGGATTGGGTACTTCTAAATAAAGATTCTATTCAAAATTGTATTTCTTATTTAACTTAATGACCTTAATGTTCTTGGATATATTTTTGATTTCCTAATTGAAAATCTACTACATCGTAATAAATAAGTAAAACACATTGAGTAAAATGAAATGTATGTATTCGTGCGGATTTATTGAGTGGAACCATCCAAACTAAGCTTCCAAGTAACCCCGCTTATTTCTCCCCTCAGAGCTCACTGTCCTGGGAGAACTCCGCCAAGAGGGCATCCTGATGGAGCAGCACAACAAGCAGCGGCTGGTGCTCCTCTTCGCCACCATGCTGATCATCACCAAGCAGAAGGAGGACGGTCGGCTGCAGTTCAAGACCTACATTTCGGTGAGTTTGTGGCCGCGTCAAACCATGAGTTATTCCTATGATCCGACATCCGACAATCATCTCGCAGCAAAACAATCTGATGCTGAGCGAACACTTGCCCGGGGAGCCGACCAGCTTCTATGTGATCCCCTTCGACGAGCCGCGCCACCAGATCAAACTGACGGCCAGGAATCGTGACCAGAAGCGCGTTTGGACGCAGCACATCAAAGGTGTCATGCTGGAGAAGCTGGACATTCCGATGAGGGCCAAGGAGCTCGTCTACCAGCTGGGCAACGAGGAAGGTGAGTGCTCCTGCCACTTGCCACTTGGCCAACTCCGCTAACTTGGCTAACTTGGCTAACTCGGTTAACTTGGCTTAGCCGCTGCTTGGCTCTAGGGCTCTTGCTAACTTCCCTCTGTTGTTTTTGTCTTACCTTTCGTTAAACCCTCCTCCTCCCCCCACCCCCTTCCACTCCCCTCCCCCGATTTTGTTGTGTTTTTTGTCATGTGGCCAAAAACACTTAACGATTTGGATTGGGGACTGCACGAGATGATGGAGTGCCCACAGTTATGCACATGCGGGTACTTGTTAAAGTTGGGTAATGCCTGTCGTCTTGGCAGCAGGAGAGCCACACAGAAAAAAGTTCAGGGATTACAGTTCCTTAAAAGCAAAATAGTATTTAAACTTACCAATATAACTAATAGAATGATCAATAACTTGAATATCTTATTCTTTCCTTAATTTTTCTTGGATCTTCTAGATCCTTTAAGTTTGATTTATTTTTAAATCGCTTCATTTTAAGAGTCAATGAATTTGGTACTTAAAATTTGTATAGTTATGGTATGCCTAATGTGCTTTCGTATAAAAAAACAATAATGATTTTAATATGAACTGAAATTGTATAAGTTCTTTGTTTTGCTCATAATATAGGTACTTTAATTTTTAATCGTATCAGAACTTTAGTTGTGATCCAAAAATGCATTATATTCTATGTACAAAAGTTACCATCAATTTTATTTTCAAATACTGAGTGTTTTGTTAAATAATATTTGAATTATTAAAGACATTATACAGCTGAAATTTCATTTGTAGAATATAAATTAGAGGATCTTTTTTTTGTAAGTATTGTAAAGTCATTTAATAAGCATAGTTTGATATAAACGAGGAAAGCTAGTGCAGAATTTTTCTCACTGCACTTGCTGGTGGCTCTCCTTAATCCCGACCAGCACATGGAGGACCTGCCTCAACCCACTCCGCGGCGCGGGGCACTTATGATTCGCACGCTCCAGCTGCGACCGAGTGACATAACCGAGTGGCAAGCGAGTCTAGCTGGCCTTTCGCCAAAATCGTGCCAGATCTGTCGACGCCTCGGCGGCGTGTTGATTTATTACTTGGACCCAATGTAGGCGCACTTTAATTGCGCACCTCGGGCAGCCACTTTCCCAGATCGTTAGGGGTTTTGGGTCCACCTTGTACCGCTTAGATGGTGTCCCACTAGTGCCTAGTACTAATTCAACTGATCTAACTCTACTCTACGAAATGCTATATGTTTACCGTTGTAGTACTACCAGTGATGCATTCTAAAACTAAACACCCCAAAACAAAGAAACGAAAAAACTTTGACTAGTGTTTAAGGCGTTCTAAGGCTAAATCCCCACACCCAGAGACTGAAACCGAATTAAAAAAACTCACCAAAAAAATAAACAAAAAATAAAGTATAATCTGAACAGACAGAAACTAAGGGCTATTGTTAAATATCCTAATCGTAATCGTAGTGTTCGCTAAAATGTAACTAAGGTGACCGAAGAGCCTAGTAAGTATTGCGAGTACCGTACTTGGATTGATAGTTTTAATTGGCCTGTTAACTCGTTTGGGGTCTGTGTTTTGCATGCATCCTAACCCCAGAACCATAATCGTACAGAGAACGCTACCCACTAACCAAACTACTAACCAACTGCATGAGTTGCTTTTGACTGATACCTTAGAATGCATTCTCACTGGTGTTTGTTATTTCGCTCACATTCTCCTTTCACCCACCCTCCACCGCTTATCATTATCCCTGAGAAACCAGATCGGAGATTAATACTTTACCCTTATATGCAGATCGCACTCCAGATCGCAGCACCTGGAAGTGGAGCCTCCACTCGGGCAGCAACTCCACTCCCACTTACTTGGAAAGGAGGAACGCCTGCAGGAGGAGCGAGATCCGCCAGAGGAACTCCAAGTTCAAGCGGAAGACGGTGGCCAACTCGAGCTCCTTCGACAGCTTCAACGAGTCCCTGGAGCAGGAGGAAGAGTCCGTTGACCAGGTGAAGCCATCGAAACCACTGGCCAGGAACAACAGTTTGGATGATACTGCGCTGCAGAAGCTGGCTGCCGCCATGAGATACCGAAAAAGAGATGCTCCCGGCAAGGAGGAAGTTAAGACTCCGGTGAAGGAACCCTGCAAGTGCGGTCAGGATGGCAAGCAGGTGGATCAGGAGGAGTGCTCCTGCATCCTTAGAGACCAACGCAGCCGAAGTGCCAAGTCCCATTCGCCGGTCTTCAGCTACAAGGCGCTCAAGGAGCGCAGCAAGTCGGTACCAAGGATCGGGGGATTCAGCTTGGATGAGGAGGCGGAGAGGGAGCGGGAACAGGATGAGGATAGTGCTGCTTCCTTGCGAGGCAGCAAGCCCGATCTCAGCGAGCGGAAGACGAAGGGCAAGGGCTTCTTCGAGGTGAAGCAGTACAACCACAAGACGATGCCCAAGAAGATTGCCACCCTGAAGAAGCAGCGGGGCAGCACCACCAAGAGCTGCTCCAGGTTCTACATGGATCTCAGCGAGTTCGACAGCAGCAGCACCACTGTGCTCAAGATCACCGAATCCACAGAGGAACTGCGGCCGAGTGGGGAAATTGAAGTGGCTCAGGAGGCGGAAACCTTGGACTACAGCCAAGAACAGGAGTCGGATGTCCTTTCTCCGGCGGAGAAGTCCAAGCGGGATGCGCAGATCGTGTTGGATTTGCTCAAAAACAACAAGGAATTCGAGAGGATCTACAACAAGCAGCAAAAGCGGAGGGAAAGTCCTGTGAGTCCAGTGAGTCCTGACATTATAGGGAAACCCCTTCTGCCACCGCCACGCCCACCATCCCGATCTCCACCGCCTCTGGAAGTGGAGGAGCAGCAGAAGAAGCGCGTGGAGGAGGTGGACTCGGTGGGCGAGGAGCCCATCTACGAGACCCTTCTGCGCAACGTCCATGTGCCCTACAAATTCTCACCTGTTTTGGGAAGAGCTAAGTCCTCGCAGATGCTGAAGAAACGATCGAAGGCTGCTCCTGCAGTTCCACGCCCGGAATCGGATTACGTGACCCTGGTTTACTCACCCGATGGAGTGTTGCAACGCGTGGGCGAGGAGGCAGTCCATAGGGACAGCTGCAGCTCATCCTCCACTTCCACTTCCTCCAATGGCTCAGGATCCACTCTCAAGAGGGACAGCCAAAACACGGTGATCAATCTCTCGATGGAGGGAGTCCAGGAGCACGGATCGCGTCCCCTGCCAAAGAACATGGTGTCGGGATCGGAGAGCTCCCTCTTGCCACGTGCCCTGAAATCCATTGACAACCTGAGCATGGCCTTCGGTCGATCCAACCGACCGCCGGAGCGCAGGGTCTCCGATGTGAGCGAGATGTGCCGCCAGAGCGTTCTGCACCGCCAGGGAAGCGAGGCGGTGGGCGAGCGGATGGCCCACGTGGACTACGCCGATCCGAAGACCCTCTTCGGATTGGGAGTTCTTAACCACTCAGAGCGCGACTCGGTCTTCTCGCTGACCTCCTCCTCCAGCGACAGCATGTGCGAGCAGCAGCGCAAGAAGTCCGGAGTGGATGCGCCATCTGCCTCCTTTGAATACGAGCAGCAGGTGGAGGACAGTCTGGAGAACGACTTCCGGGACTCGGCCATCTACAGTGATGACAACGAGAAGCGGTCCGGGGACTACGATGTGCAGCTGCGACGACCCAGCAGTCCTCCTCCGCCGCCGCCTCCTTTGGGTCCACGTCCCCATCAACCGCCGCAGGTTGCCCCGAAACCCTCCAAGGATCAGCTGCTCATCCAGCAGAGAGCGGGTGTCGTCGTCTGCCAGTCGGCATCCCGCAGTTGGGTCCTCCAGCAGATCGAGAACTTCAACAAGTAGGATCTGACATCAGTTGATCCTCCAACTACAAGCATGATCTAGAGATCTTAAAAGATCCTTACAATTTATCTGAGATCTATGGATCTCAGTTGATCCTCCAGCAGATCGGGTAATTTAACAAGGAGTATCCAAGGATCCTTAAGTGATCCTAAAGAGAAACCTTTATAAACAACCCATTGCCATAAACACAATTCCTTTGTAATTTCGATATGTAAATAATTATAAGTGTTTAATACACACTTCGTATGCAATGTTAATCTTAGATACCGTTAGTCGACTGTTTTATAATTAGAGCTTAGTTGCATAACCGCAGAGTCATTTAATAAAGTTCATAATCAATTGATATATTACAAAAATGTCGTTTACTATAATTGTAATTGTTGTTAAGGGGTTGTATAACATATTTTACATACATTTTAAAAAGTTGATTTCGATTTGTTTTCTGAAACATATATGGGTTATTTTTAAATTTTAAGTCAAGTGGAAAAATGTCAAATAAATTAATTTACATTTTTTGAGCACAAGCTGATATTTGGGTGTTGCAACTGGCTAGGTTAAGTCAGGTTCTGGAACTGGCTAAGTCTAGTTGCCTGAAAATATGCTTTACATTGTGGAGCTTTGGATTTGTTATAATTCTGTATAACAGTTCGTTTTTATGGGAACGTTGAGTTTTTGATTGTTTAACTTAAACATCTTAAAGGTATGCAATCAAAATCAATAATAAGTTGATGTTAATTTTAGGCAATGTACCTAATATTAAGATATGTTTATATTTTAAATATCATTATAACATTTCATTTACACTTCTATAAATTCCAGTTTTGCGATATCATTTTTTTAGCTTAATATTCTAGCTAATGTATGTATGATTAAAATTTTTATTTAACAACACACACTACATTTGGGAACAGTGGAATTCTGTGCAATTAATTAAACAAATTACTTAAACGATTTTTAATTTAAATCTGATTCATCAGTAGTCGAAATAATGGGATTAGGTCTGTACGAATTTAATTTGAAAGGAAACGGTGAGTTTTAATCCACTCAACGGAAAAAGGAATTGAACGAAAACAAAGTGCTTTAGCAAGTGTGCCTTTCAAATAAAATGTAATGCGTTGTATTTTCCATCAGCACGAATGACATCAGATGATTTTCATAAGTTGAACTCATTTGAATGTTAATCCTATTACCCGTTTAATGGTCTGATTGACAATCACTCTTTTCGCCGTCGCCAGTTAAATACGAATAATAAAGTGTATCATTTGAGTGCCAGGACTGCTCGACACATATTGGAAAATTTTCGTCAGCCAACTGTGCAGCAGCTTTCCACTCATTATGCAAACGTTGACCAACTCCCTGGAGGTTCCGTTTCGCCATTGAACAATGACGAAAATCAGGCCGACGGCCATCGCCGACAGCCAAAGTAATCTGCTGGAAAATTAAATGCAAGCGCGCTTCCCCCTTTGGGCCACATACATATGTATATATATCCCATATATCGCTCATATATCGCCAGTGTCAACAGCGGAAAAAGAACGAAAAATCCACGTAAAATTGCCTTTGCATAATTCATGAGCCAAATGGCCAGCAGACAATTAATATTCTCCTTGGATGAAGCCTCGCCCAAATAAACAGTTTAAAATTATCAGTTTGGTGAAGTTCCGAGGAGTTTCAGGAAGCCAAGTCATCTTTGAGTGCGCCTGCGTGCGTTTTGTTGCAGAAAAAAACTGTTTTCTGAAAATCGAAAAAAACTTGTATCTAATTTATTTTTATTGGCTTAGTAACGTGAAATACCGCTGGGATAAAATAATTTTTGCCACATTAAGCTGGTTTTAGTAAACAGTAAAAACAAAAATAGTAAAAACGATTTCGCTAAAAATTAAAGAGGGAACACCACAAATTGTTCCAAAACAAATTTTTTCCGAAACTCGAAAAATATGGTTGTAACTTTTTCTAGTAATTGAGATAATAGGATTTTTTGTCAATTTAACCTTAGGTTTTACAAAAAATTAATTAAGAAAACATAAATGGAAAAATGCAAGCCGAAATTCACCCGTTCACCCGTTTTTTTGTTCCAGAACAAAGTGGTTGAATTGCCCGAAGGACCTCGCCGTGCGTCCTTGACAGTTGCGTGCATTCGATGGCACAAGGATGGACTCACAGGATGCAGCAGCAGCCCGAAGGACAAGCCAGGTTCACAGCTCATTTGAAAGCAAGGGCAAGGTCGGAAGTCTAGGCCAAAGTCCGACTCCATTCAGTCCGTTCAGCAGACAAACGGAGTCGCTCAAACGCATCCCGTTTGGATTTCCCAGGGCCAAGGGAACAGCGGGTTTTCCTTTCGGTTTCACTTTCGCCCCGAGCATTTTCCAATCGTGAGCTGACTGCATTATGCCACAACCCACGGGCTCAAAGGTCGCCTTCGCCTTCGCCTTCGCCCTCGCTTTCATTTCTTTCTTTTTTTGTGGCACTGACATCGCTGGCAAGGAGCTCACCTGCTCATCTCCTTCCGAAACAAGAGACAAGAAAAACACACAAACTCACACACTGAATTTCAATTTCTTTGACACGTTCTTGTTGCTGTTCGCTTGCAAAACGCTCAACAAGTGCCAGGATGCTGAGCAGTTGAGCCCGAGCATCTACAACGAGCTGTCATGGGATAGATGCACTCGAAGAAAACGGAAAAACTGGGGAAAAATTATTTACCTATTCGGGATTTGATCAAACTATTCCTTCTGTAATTTAGAAGAGTGAAAAATAAATATACATCAAACACATATCAAGTCAAAATATTGAAAAAATCTCATGTGAAATATCTTGCGTATAAGAAACCCCTTTTGGAAAGAACTTTCTATTTATTTTGAATTTGTTTTACCAACTATGAAAACCACATATGTTATTGGGAAAATCGCATGTGAACTGGGAGTTATATACATAATAATTCACGAACATTTAGGAAACATTGCGATGGATTTCAAACTACTACTTATGTACTTATGTTGGTTGCCTTGATGCCTGAATGATTTATGTGCTTTGGTGGCAGAGAGAGACCCTGACATAAGTGCAAAATGTGATTGATTATGAGTGGTAATTAAGCAGCCTTAAAGCCAGTTCATATTTGACTTGGCTAAATGAAAGAAAAGCTTTATTTTCCGAGTGTACCAGAAGATAGGGAATGTAACAGACAAGCTTCGACTTTTATGGCCCCCCTGAAAACCTCGTTTCGATCCCCCTTTCAACCCAAACTCGTCCACCCTCCATTCTGGCAACCCATCTGAGGTCTCTGGCCATCGCCTTCGCCTGCTCGCTGCTGGGGAAAACTTTAGCAAATTGCCATTTTGGCATTTAGCTGCAGCGGGTGAAAACTCGCCGCCACCCGCCGCCAATTTTCGTACATTTGAGAGATTATGGATGGTCCTTTCGCATTTCGCATTTAATTCCGTCCCCCTGTCACCTTCTTATTTACCGACCTTCGGCTCGTCGTGGGCTACAATCGAAATTCCGCTTGTAATTTACATGCCGCGAATGGCACACCCACTCGCCGCCCACCCACTTTCCCCCCCTTTTTTCCCTTATCACTCTGCTGCTCTCTACGCATTTTCGTATCGTTAGGGTTCCCGGTGACTTTCTCGCTGCCAAAGAATAAACAATGCCCCAAACCCTCGACCCCCCGAACAACTTCCTGTTTCCTGCGCCGCGCAAATTTGCAAGTGCGTCCCGGACCCACAAAACATCGAGCAAACAACCCAACAGACCAACTGAATACCAACTGAGAACCCGGCAACCTTTTCTCATTTCCTTTGTGAGAGCCCCCAGTGTAGACAGCCATCCGGCCAGACATCCCATACTATACTATACTATATATAGTATGGCATATAGCGCGGTGTGTGCTGTAGGTGTAGGCGCAACTTGTTGCTGTTGCCTCTCAGCTATCGCAAAAAGCAATTTCATGCCAATGCGATGAATTGACAGCGACAGGAGCAGCAGGAGCCGCAGGATGCGGAGGGAGGGGAAAGGACCTCGTCTGCTGCCGTCGGCGTTTGATCCTGATAACCCGGCGCACACACGAGCGGACGGACAGGTGTGTGCTACACGGCGAACAGAGAAATGGAGAACAGGGAGCAGGGAGCAGGGAGCAGGGAGCAGGGAACAGGTGGCTCTGCCCGGGGCAGCAGGAACACCGCCGACGACCTCTATCCGTTCAATCCATTCCGCACAGGACACTCGACGGACGAGCAGGATCCGGTGGCCAGCACACGGAGACTCGCCTCCTCGAGTGCCAACAGCAGGCAATATGCTTCTTTACTATTCCGCCTAACGACTGACTCAACGACACGGCACTAACCATTTCCTATCTTCACATATACTTAACATTTGGCAAGGTAAAAACAGACATTATTCGGGGAGTTTATTTTCGATAAATCATAGTACTGTCTAAATAAAGTAGGAAGAAAGATAATGTATAATACTTTACTTTATCTTTAAAATCAATTTAAAAAACTTAACTTATGAATAAATGTAATCAAAAGATATTTAATACAAGCTTTACCTATGTAAATTAAATTCCAATTCTAGTTAATTTAACTTTATATTTTTTTAAGCGGAATTTCTACTTGTAGTTTATTGTTTATTCACAAAACCTTTTTTGTATTGCCTTGTCAGAGAGAAGCTTAAAAGCCAATAAAATATTAACCACAAATAGATTCATTTAAATGTAATTAATTACTATAAATTAAGTACTCATTAAATCGATTGTAAATTACCATCATTTATCTCATTTTATAAACGAGTTTGGAGGGAGTTTTATAATTTTAATTTTAATGAAATTTTAGCTTTAACAGCAGGATTTTTGTGAAAGGGAAATTGCTACTATATACTCCTAAACCTTTTTTCTCAATAAGGGTATTCCAGAAGCCGACACAGCCATCCCTTTCGATGTTTACCTAGGCACTTCCCCTCGTTCCACCGAACAAATAATCATACTTCAAAGGCAATAAATCGTTATTTAAATTTCATTTTCCACACTGCTTAAAGTTTCATTTCGTGAATTTCAGTTTCGTCGCCGCTCCGGGATTCGCAGGAGTGGAAGGACGTCCTGCAGACGGCGGAGGATTGGAACAACGAAGGACGAGGGACGAAGGTATGCTTTAAAAATTCGGCTTATTTGGTTATGAATCCCCCGAGAGTGACGGCTGCCGGCGCGAATATTTCTTCATCTGCGATGCGAAAAATACCTGGGAGTTTGTTTGTTTGTGCGTCTGAGTGGCCTGGTAATTTTTTCTCTTTTTTTTCGTTACTAGACACACACATACACACACACACACACCCATAACAAGTGTGCAGATGGCCAACAGCTTTTGGCCCTATAAAATTGTGTGTGCTTTGGCATCCTTTATGATCCCTTTTTCCGGCCAGCTCTTAAGGTATTGCCTGCCCATTCCGGAGGACAAGGTAATCCTTTTGGCCATCCGAAGGGAGAATGCCGAGTGTCGTTATCCCATATGCTATATAATCAATGTGGAATTCGAGATGGAATCGCAGAAGACAATCGTTGGGATTAAATTCATGTTGATATGGGAGGGTAAATAAAATGTTGCATAACTTATACTTATAGCATGCACAGGTATCTCGTATATATAATTAACTTAATATCCAGCCACTTTAATTGTGTGACTGGCATTGAGCTCGTTGCAAAAAACCCAGCTTAACCAGGATAACGATTAAGCTTTTAATCGATTTTTGTGGACTCCCCAGCGACTCGATTATGATTGCGACTCCGATTGCGAGGTTATGGGCTATCCTTGGATGAGGGAATCCAGGGGAACCGGGGATCCATTGAGGGTATCCCTCAATGAGTTCCGCATCTGAATGCCAACGCTGCTTATTTTCACAAGAATTTACACAGCCCGGGAGGTTGGCGCTGATTAAGGAATGGCCCCGGGCGGGGATATTCATTTAGGCTTGTTTATTGAACTTGGAATTAGTTTGATTTGGCCACCGAGCCAAAAGGACGAAGGTAAAGCGAAACAATCTCTGCTCAAAAGGGAGCCATTTGCAGCATAATCCGGATTTTTTCGGAGGGCAAGAGAAGGCAGAAGGCGGCGGCTCCTTGGTGCGTTAAATATAATAAAATAAGCTCATTAAAATTATGAGACCTCGAGTTCGTCGGGCGGGTGGCCTAAAAGTTTCGCAGATATATCCTTCGACGAGGTTGCCATGCCAGGACTTCGAATCCTCCCCCTGATTCCCTGCCATCAATCAGAGCCGGATTGTCAACTTTTCAGCAGGATCCGTAAGTTAATTACGGCCGCCCAACAACTGTCGATTGATTCGGGGAAAAGCCAATATTGTGTCGAAGTGCTTTGTGCCGCAGGAGCGTGAAATCCGGAGAAGTTTTTCGGGTGCGATTGACAACAGGCACTTAACACATTTTCCCCCAGCCTTAATGAACCGCAAGTGCGCAACAGCTGAGTTCTGCGCTCTGAGTTGTGAGATCTGAGGAATCGGCGAGTCTAGGACTTTCGCCTGAGTTGGCATTGAATTTGTGGCTGCGTTTCGTGACCCCTGACCCCCGTGAAAATGAAACACAACTTAGTTACAGAGCGTCCTTGTCCTTTATTTATCTGCTGATGAGATCGGGAGTGGAAGAGGAAGAGGAGGAAGGAAGGAGGGGGAGGGGGCGAGGAAAGTTATACACACCAAACAAGAAATCGGATTTTATCTCCGTGTACTCTAATTAATTTGCTTTTTCTGCAGCCTCATCTCGCTGACAGGCAAAAGCGTACAATTGCGGATTACACTGTGCAACATAAAATTGATTTTCTGAGGGTTGTATAGTCGCTGCTTGGCTTTTGAAAAATATATAAACACACATCGATCTTTACACAAATATATATAATATGTATGTATATATGGTTGGATATCTCTACAGCTACGCTTTAAGCCAATTGTTCGAGTGTTAGCCGTAAAGTCTGTTATTCAATAGCTTTACACAATAAATTCGGTGGGAGTTTATAGCTGGCTCTGTGATTCGATTGCCTTTTCGTCGGTGATTTGATTAGCGAATCGCATTAAAGCCACGCAGTTCACGGGGCGTATGCGCGATGCGAATGCAGATGGCCACAGTGCGGCTGAAAAATACTCGAACAGGCTGGCGCTCCTCTGCACTCGCAAATTAAAACTTTCGCCGGAGCAACTTTGTGTGTTTTGTTTGCTAAATGTTAAAAATGATAGAGTGCACTCGACAGAAAGGCGGAGAAGGAATTGCAGGGGGAAAGGGGGGAAAGAGGGGGTTGAGGAGGTAAAAAGGATAGAGGATATAGAGGGGGTAGAGCAAACATGAGTGCACTTTGGACAAGCCCGTTGGCCAGGCCTCCACTGAATCCCCGTTCGGAATCCTCGCATTTCCCCCTCAAATGTGTAAGTTTGCGTATGAAAATAGTTAGAGTTAGTTGCGTTTTGTTTTTGCTTTCGCTTTGCTTGCCTTTCGCATTTTGTAAAAGGTATTTTTCAAATATAAGCGTATGAGTTCAGAAGTGTTTGAAGTTTCAGTAGTATACATCTATATATATATATAATATGTGTGTCTTGTATCTTTATCTTTAGGTATATAGTATATAGGTACACGTAAATATACATCTATATAGTAACGTCTGAGTGAATTACTTTGATTAAACGGTATTTGTTCTTGGCTTAGACTAACAACAGTCAACATTCAACAGTCATTCCGATATGAGATTTTCGTCAATTGGAAGAATTTCTTTTTGCGAAGCAGGTGGAGCGTAAGTTATGATATAACCTTATCCTAGACGGTAAACTTATACGAAATAGGTCACGTGTATATATGTTTTTTGCTGCTTAGGGCCTCTATATGCATGTATATACGTAAATCAACATCTATAAAGTTTCTATCGACCCTCGGGGGCTGCTCCTTAAGCGTTTCGTAGCGTTCAATTGACAGCACATTATTGGAATTGAAGTTATTCGCACTGGAACACATATAGTTTATATGCAAGTACGCATGTAAATATACACCTAAATATATTATACATATATGGAATTGAGTAACCGCCCACTTTAGAGGTCTTGTTTTTGATTTTTGGAGGCTGCACATGCCTCATTGGATTGTTGGTTTGGTTGGATTGCTGGGTCTTTGGATCATTGGATCGGAGCTTATCAGTCCGGCCTTCGGCACCAATTTGGAGGAGCGTCTGGGCATGATAAGCCGGTCCACAAAAATGCGCCGTAAACAATCGACTATCGCCAGATCTGGAGGCCTGACCACAGCCAATGACTTGCCGAAAGACGACGAGACCCGGCGTTAAACTTTTAATAAGCTGGAGCACAACAAAGGCGGCCAATCTGAATGGCATCTGGAGCATTTCCCCAGCCATTCGCCTTTGATAAAATTCCCTTTTGTATACAGTTTTGTGGCATAACAATTTCGCCCAGGAATGCCGGGCAGAAGAAGACATCGAGGTTGGCTCAGCACATGTGATTGTGTTATATATCTCTGTGATATATCTCTATATATCTCTGTATCTCTATAGCACGTGCAGGTTCTCGCAGCTCTTCGACTTGGAGATGTCGCTCAGGCAAATCTTCTGCAGCAGCTCCTTGGCCAAGTGCAGCGAAATGTGGGTGCGGGAGGTCTTCATCTTGGAGGCGGTGGCCTTCTTCTCGCGCTTCTCCTTCAGCCGCATCTGTTTGCCGAGGTTGGGGGAAAAAATGGTAAGCAAATAATGGGGTTTAAATTACAAATTAGTTTTGGCTTCAACCTATTTTGTTTCAATTACTTTAATAGATTTAAGGATGGCAAGAAAGCGAAATAATGATTCTTAAATTACGGTTAAATAACTTGGCATTTCTAAATCGAAGCCTAATAAACTAAAACTAAATTGATGTTAGCTTGAAAATTTTCATAGAATATCCGTCGAATATATTCGCCCTAACAAATTATTAAAGAAATTTAAAGGGATTAGATAAGGATTACTTTTAGTCATTTTTTTTAACTGTTTTCGATTTTAGTTTGGATTATTTTGATTAAATTGTGAGTTAATTGAAAATGATATTAATGCTAGCCTAATCCAAGTATGTACGTTGTATAATAATACATTTTATGATTGCCTTTAATTTTGCTTGTAGCAAGTAATATTCGTAGAAATTAGGCAAAATCTTAATTTAATGGTTTTTAAGAAAGGACAAGGCATGTTGGGTTACTGACACTTAGTTTAATTAACTAACTTCTTTAAAGTGTATTAACTATTTATTAATCAATGTTTATCTTAACTACCCCTTAGACCAAGTAACTAAGCGACCTAATCCAATCAAATCGGAAACATCTCCCCGCCGCTTAGTAATAATAATACCCGCTGCCAATCTGGCTAGCTGACCAAGTTTCCGCTGGCCCCGTTTTCACCGCACCATTTTCATTAATTAGTGAGCCGATCCGGAAGCAGGCGCTGCGAAACCCAACCCGAAAACCAGAAAACTGAAAGGGGAAAAGGAGGAAGGCGGGGTTTCCCCTTCAGCGTGGCAAATCCATTTAACTCCGTTTCCTGCACATTTCACCATGCATCGGTGGGTTGCGTGTGCTGGCCCCAATAGCCACAGAGCCACCTAGCCATCTAGCCACCTGGCTACCCACTTTCACCTCCTCCAACTCACCTGCTTCAATATTCCAACGAGCAGCTCATCGACATTGTGCTGTATGCCGCTGGACGTCTCAATAAATTTGGCATCGCGTGAGGCGGCCAGAGCTTTGCCCTCTTCGGGGAGCAAAAGTGAAAGGAAAGCAGCAGGGAAGGGGTTCCAAATGAAATCAAGCCATCATAATTAAGGCCATGAACTCACCCTGCGAGGTGATGAGTCGGGCGCGGGCCAGATCCGCCTTGTTGCCCACCAGGATGACGGCCTTGTCCTTCGTGTAGTTCTCCTGCCACAAATAGTTGATGATCTCCTCCGCCACGCGAAAGGAGCTGCGATCTACCACGGAGAAGACCACAACGCAGCCGTGTGGTTCGTAGGTGGACAGCGAGTTCTCCACACTCATCTCCACGCTGGGGTGATCGATGAAGACCATGTCCGACTCCTCGTCGTCCAGCAGAACGCTCACCGTCTTCTCGCCGAACTCGTCGTCTAAAACTCAGATCAGAATTAAACTCTAAAGACGACAGTGGTTAGCCGGGAAGCTAGGGGTCGGGCACACACATAGGTTCCAGCTAGGGGTCACTCTCCTACTCACTGCAGTTCGGGGTTGACCTTTGACCTCAACCTCAACGTCAACCTCGAGTTTGAACCCTTGAAACTTACCCAAACTGGCATCGTAGGTGTGCATGTACTCGGAGGTCATGAACTGGTTGACCAGCGCCGTCTTTCCCACTCCAGCATCCCCGAGCATCACGACTCGATAACGGGCGGGTGGAGGAGGATCCAGGTTCTCGGAGTCATCCGGCGTTGCTGGGAGGGAATCCACGTTGGCGTAGCCCGCTCCACAGCAACTGCCCTCGAATGGCGACCTTTCGCTGGCCCGACTGTTCGTCGAGTTCACGCTGGTGTTGCTCCGCGATCTCCGCGAGATTATCGAGTCCCCGCAGTTGACCACATTTCCCTTGCTGATGGAGAAGTGCCGCAGGCGGTAGAGGTCGTCGCTGGCCCGCGGGTTGTACGGTCGCTCGGGCAGGGAACACACTCGCGGTCGCACGTGGTCGGGAACTAGAAAGAAAAAGGTCAACATAAAGTGGAAATCGGATATGGGTAAAAAAATAAAAAGGGCTCCGATACGAGTTGCACCTTAATCATAAATGGGATTGAAGTTTTTAGAAAGGTCACTAAACTTTTGTTTGATAACCTTGACCTTTTTTTACCCTATTTTAAAGAAGCAGATTTATGTGTAACAATTTAAAAGCAAAAAACTTCTGTTAACACCAATAAAACAATCCTTTTTTTGCATCTTACTTTGCATTCAAATTTGCTAACTTGTTGTTTTATTCATAGCAAATCTGAATTCAATTTAAAGTCTTAAGCTTTCTAGTTTTCTGATATTAATATCATCAATTGAGAGTCAAAAACCAAGATGAAATTTATTGAGGGGAGTTAAGAAAAGGTATTTTTCTGAGACCATACTTTTCTTTAAATATTAACAAAAACTTTGATTCTGTGTCCTTTATAATGGAATTTAAAACTAATGGGTATCTAAATGATGATTTTATTACATTCTATAAAACTTTTGGATGAAATGTGTTATTTGATTCTCGAGCTAGCAATATATAATATTATCTATACTAATATTATAAAGAGGTAAAATTTGTTTGTTTGTTTGTTTGTTTGTTTGTTTGTTTGTTTGTTTGTTTGTTTGTTTGTTTGTTTGTTTGTTTGTTTGTTTGTTTGTTTGTTTGTTTGCAGGGAATAGGCTCCGGAACTACTGGTCCGATTTAAAAAATTCTTTCGCCGATAGAAAGCTATATTATCGTGGAGTTAAATAGGCTATAATTTATTTTGAAAAAAATTAGGGATCCGTAAGAAAATTGCAATATTGTCGCATATAAAGTGAGTTGCTACCTCATCACACTGACAAACACGCTCCCATAGCATTTTAACTCAATTTTTGTGTTCACTGTGAAATTGTGAAAAAAAAAGAATTTTTATTCAATTTAAGTTGAACTGTGAAAATTATGTGGATCGTGCATTTGAGGATAAATTCACCACTCTGTCCATAGTCCAAAATGCTTAGAGGACGACGTGCAAACATTGGCCGCAGACATCCAAGCCAGCAGCCAGTATATTCACAAAACTTAAGCGAAGAAAGACAAATGAGCACATGGAGATCATTGGCATCATTCAATCGCTTGGCATTCCAATATGACCCCACTGCGAACTACAGTGATAATGAAAATTTAGATATTGGACCAATGGCGACTATATACCGATATTGCAGTGCGTTAAAGTTTAAAAGAGAAACGGCTGGATTGTGCTGCGCAAGTGGAAAAGTCAAACTGGAAAAGTGTTAAATCACCATCTTTCTATACTTCCATATATTTGAAAAATTTTGCAACATTGACTTTTATGTTGTTAAATTGTGTTGACCAGCGAAGCGGACACAGGACCTCTAGTATCTAATATTAAGAACTCTTACCTGGCAGCTCGAGGAAGTTCGACGTTCTGCGCTGGCGACCGCGGTTGGAGCTCTGGAAGGCTAGTGGCCCCACATCGTCGTTGGACACGATGGAGGCATTCGAGCAGGCGCTCTTCATCGACTCCCGGGAGCTCCTCCTGCTGGCCAGGTAGGCCAATCCGCCCTTGGAGCTTCCCCTGCGCCGCGGCTTGTGCTCCACATGCGCCTTCGGTTTCGCTGGCTTACATCCACTCAACTCGTGGTCCGCATCCTGGGTAAGATCACTGGTGGACTTGCGATATCGAAGGGAGACCACGCTATCCGAACAGGTGCGATCCAAGGTGGAGTGGGAGCTGTGGAGCACCTGGTAGCCCGGATTGGAGGTGATGTTGATGGCATGTCGCCGTTGGCGGTGCGGCTTCGGCTGCCGGGACTCCTGATCCATTTCCGGTTCCGTGAAGCTGAAGCTGGTGGTGGTGTGGGTAACCATGGTGCTTCCAGTGTGCTGGGTGTTCGTCTCGCCGGATTCCATGGACAGTTGGGTGCAATCGGTGACGCAGGAGTCGCGCTTCAATCCGTAGTAATTCCCCCCTGAAGATCCCGATCCTGCTCCTGCCGCAGATGCAGCTGCACTGAGGTTCCTGGCCTCGATCTTGCTAATCACTGGAAGTTCCCACTCATCCCGTTGCCGCTTGCTGGGATTTCCTTGGGAGTAACCTCCTCCCCCTCCCATTGCCATCGCCACCGCCATGCTCTCATCCACTCCCGTCGTGGTTAATTGGGGGACGGGATCTAAGGGCGTCTTAGTCCGCATCAGCTTCTTGGATCCCTGGCGACGTGGAGAAGTCGGAGGATCGTAGTACAAAGCTCCATCATCCGGGGAAATGGGCTCGTAGTACTCGAACTTCCTGCCGTGACTGGGACTCACTGCATCGAAGACAAATTGGCAAGGGGACTTGGGACTCCTGGCGGTAGTTCGTCCACTCAAAAGCGAGGCGGAATCATCGATGGAACCCGAAGGAGGCGTCTGGTAGTAAGAACTCGGAGTGGAGCTGCTGGCCTCATCGCAGCTGTCGTGGGCAAAGGTTGTGGTGATCTTGGGACTCCTTGGGGTCTCGTATCCCCCGTAACTGTAACCCGGTGATGGAGCACCATGGTATTGCCTACTTGGGTTTGCTTTCTTTATAGTTTCTTAGAGATATAGTGTTGGAACTCACCTGGGCAATTTGGGAGTGGCTCCTTTGCAGGGCAGCGGATTGCTGGCTGCTCTGGCAGGTACTTTGTGGTGGGAGGAGTGCGGATGGCCATAGGATCCTCCTCCAACTGCTCCTTCGTCCCAGCTGCGCTGTTGCTGTGCCATCTCAGGACTTCTGTGCAAGGAAAGGGTATACTATTTTAGGGCACTAAGAAAAAGATAAGATATGTTTAGTATAGTTAAAAAAATAATTTATGTATGATGGTTTATGTATATGTAGAATTTAAAGTTGTATGATTAAGGTATAAGATCAAGATGAGTATGCTTTTAATTATTATATTCCTATGAAATTTGAATCTTTTTAAAGTAAATAATTTTATCTATTCATTTTAAGAGTCGGTATTGAAGTTGAAGGGTTTCGGGAAGAAAAAAGGTGCAGATATATTATATATATAAATAGATGATTTCTATTTAAAACTTTTAAAAGTTAGTTCTTTTTTTAATTTAGTAAGTTTAAGAGAAAACATATTTAATTGTTTCATTCAAAAATTATTTCTTCACTTTGAATACACTAGATAGAAAAACTCCACATTTCACTTAGTTTTTTAATTCATAAAAAATAGTGTTTGTATCAGGTTAACATTCTTTACTCCATCTTAAACTCCATAAACATTCTACATCCTTTTCTCCCCGTGCACTTAACAGGACGATGAGATGAGCAGATGAGATGGCAACGACTCGCTGATGGCCAACTCATGTGTAAATATCACGGGCCATTACTCATCCCGCTCACACACAAACACACACACACACACAGACACTGCCCAAATGGGCACAAAGTAAACATAATTTATGGCTTTATCTGTATTTAATCAAAATAATGAAAAGCGGGCAATGGGCAATGGGAGCCGGGCATCATAAAGGCCGTGCCCAACCAACCGCCCATTCGCATCGAGTTGACCACAAAACGGGGCGATGGCCGCAAGTCATTTTCCGACTTTCCGTTCCCAGAACAGGAAAAGCGGGGGGAAAACCCGGGGAAGTGCTCTATTTGGCCTGGCAATTATTGCTGAATGTGCGTGGAGATGGTGGCATAAGTGGCTGTTCCTATTATCGCCTACCCCCACCCCAAAAGCCACCCACAAAGCTGTCAGCAACTCCCAACACATCCACATCCAAGCAACTTATGCAAAAGTTTGCGCCTGTTCCGCCCGAGTTGCAAACAATCCGCTTGCGGGAAACTTCATGTTGGTGTTCGGCGCGGTAACAAAGTTCCCCTAATGGGATTTGCCGGCTTCGAGTTTAACTTGCAGCTATTAAACTTTTGCCCACTGGGCGATTCACCCGCGAACTGTTGCCTACATTTCAGCGTTCGTCGACTTGATTATTGCGGGCAACAAAGAAAGAAAGAAAGTAAGACAGACAGACAGACAGACAGCAAGTGTTGGCCATTTGTGGAGCTCCAATTGATCCGGCAAGTGATTTTCCATGCGAAGTAGTTATTCCGTTTTACGACTGTACTCCCCACTGGCGATTGTTGCACTTACATGAGCACTTGCCGCATCGAATTGCCATTGCGAATGTTGCATATGTTGCTGCCACCTCCTCATTTGCGTTTCCCTCTGGACACGTGGCCTGAGCTCCAGTTGCCACCTCTCACTGCCGGCCACGTTCGACCTGCGGGCCATTATTATCTATCGCTCTCCGTTGTGTACAAATAGCCGTAACACCCACACACTTCCGTGCTGCGTGAGTACGTGGCTACGTGCCCATACGGCCGGGCAAATTCTGTAGTCCGGAATAACAGTCGCAGAATGCTCCATAGTTCACCTGTTGGCTGCGGACCTCGTTGGTTTGGCCTTCTGCGGTTTCACCCACTCAGTGGAGCTCTGTTTCAGGGGAACTTCATTTACGAGTACTTCGGGTGAATTTTGTATCTGTATTACACATTTTTTAAAAGCATAATTAACTACCTATTAACTAACTAACTACCTTTGGGCACTGCAATTAAAACATGGGAAAAACACTTAATATTTTTATGCAAGTCTGGAATAGTGATTACAATTTTGATATAACTTTGAGAATAGGTATATATAGAAATAAATCAAATCTCCAATATAATCAATGCTTTTACCTTTTAATAAATAATTTAATAAGTGAGAAATACATAAATTTAAATGAATTTTTCAGACTCACACTACCAAAACCCAATCAATACTCGTATATCTTAAAGTGTCGAAGTGGCTTGTATATTTTACAGCATTTTTATTAAATCACACCCAAATTGACCAATTATCGTAAACCCAAATCTGCTTGGTCAGGAAATTCGAATCAATAACCGAGAAATTTAAGTCGAAGCGTAGGCGTTCGTTTATGAAAAATCAACAAGAGAAGTCTGCCACAAGCGTCAAATTCTGAGGAAAATATAAGTTTTATGCCTGCATTTGAATCAGCAAAATATATAAAAGAAAAGTTTTCCCTACCTCATTTCCCTTCACACAAACAAAGAATTAGCGAATTCCGCTTTGTGCCTTAAAGTAAGCAAATTTTCGCTCGAACTGCGGTAAATAACTTGAATTGCATATTCATGAACTCGGAGGTTCTTCGCTTAAAAGTTTTCGCTCTAAGCCCTCGAATCTGTGGGACAATCTTTTCGTAAATACCACTTACAAGGCATCAATTATTCGAGTGATTGATTCAAGTGTTTGGCAACTTGTTGTTTCTCTACCTCCAGCGATACCTTTTTGCTTCTCGGTATTCCCAATTGTTTTTCCTGCTTTTTTTTGTACTTTGCATTTCACGTAATATAATGGCGCGTTGCCACAACGACGTATCGAATCGAATCGAATCGGCCAGTGGATGAATTGGGGGATATAGGATAGAGAGGATGATAACAGAATGCTGATGGAAAAGTGGCCCAGAGTCCAGGGCTCACCTGCCACTCAGTCCATCCCGTTCTGGCGAATGCTTTTGGCTTTGGGGAAAATCTGCAGACAACAAATCAATAGGAGTATCTATCGTTTTCCCTTGGACGCATTCAAATCCTCAGTAGTTCGGTCCGCATCGGCTTTCTTTATGTGGAATTGTGTATGCATAAAGGCCATCAAAGCGGGGAAAAGGGGGAAGGGGGGAGGTGAAATGGGGTCTGAGTTATTTCGACCAGCTTATTGTATTAGTCGAGGGTCCTGGGAGAAAAAGGTTAGCTTGTGTAAGATAATAATTGCTACAGATTTCTGAATTGCAAAAGAAATGGCAGCCATCGGACTGAATTATTGATGGATTCCATTGACTTTAAACCTGTAGAAAAAAATACAGAAAAAAGCAGAAAGGATAACCTGGCACATAAGTTATGCAAGGCAGGAAACGATGTGTGGATAATTTGACTGGGCTTAAGCTGCATTTGCATATACAAATGCCGGTGCGTGGGTCGGGTTTCAATCAGGTTTATGGCTTCTTCTTCTTCTTCCGCCTGCAACCTGCCACCTTTTCCGCAATTTGCTCTCCATTTTCTCTTCTCTCCTTTCAGGCCATCATCATCATTTCTCATCCGAGGTGGCCGGAATAATGACTCCTTGTGCAGGGACCGTCATTAAGTTGCAGGCCTGCTCCGCGTCATAAAAAGAAGTTCAGCGGACAACCCTTTGTTCAAACTTTGCTAGTAATTAAGCCCGCACCCGTTAAACGCATACTTAACACCACCACCCACCGGTCTTCAACCACCCAACCTACCAGTTTCTCCGCACTTTCTCCCCCCTTTCTTTCGTTGTAAAAATAAACTGAGTGTGTACAACACAAACAAGGAAAGTCCATAAAACACTTAAGATCGAGCAGTGGGTGGGGGTGGAACTAGTTAGGGGATGGGGAGAGATGGTCTACTTCTGGGTTGGTCAGTTCGCAAATTACAAATCCTGGCCAAAGTCACGTCGCAAGTTGGTCATTAGCCGCCACTTGAGTCTCGGAGTCTCGAATCTCGAGTCTCGAGGAGCTCTGCCCCCGCATCGATTTTATTGCAACACATAATTCCTGAGGCCGGGGCCATTTGTGCAAATCTCATGTTGATGGCATATTAAGTGACCTCCGGGCTGCTTTTCAACCTACCACATAACCTCCTCCCACTCTCACCCCCCCCAGTCCCCCAGTCCCCCAGTCCCCCACTCGCATTTTCATTGAATGCCCCTAAGCGAGTGCCAATTTGCACTTTAAATGCCCGACGGGTGGGCAAAGTGATAGACAGAAATGGCGCAAACTTACGTGTAATTAGACGCGTCTGGGCGAGAGGATTAGCAATTAAGCGAATGTCCTGTGAGCGCAACAAGTGCCGCGATAAGAGGAGAGGGAGACGGGGAGAGAGGGCGTGAGGGAGAGAGGTAGAGAGGTGTTGTTGAAAGAGACACAGGACACGAGTAATCCCTGTTAGTGGGTGGCAATTGCCGTTTTGGGGGCAAAAGTGAGAGCAGCGCATAAATCAACATGTCAAATCGCAGCTTACAAAGTGCCACACGCACACCAACACACAGACACACGCACACACGGATAGGCACTCCCACCAATACAGAATAAAAACTCACTTTTACTCCGCGTGCCGCATTACAATTTAATGTTTACCATTTTCATCAAATTTGTCGGATAATTCGGTCTGTTATAGCAACTTTGCTAATTGTCCAACACCAACAATGCCACAAACACACCGATACACTAACACGAACACAAGCACAGAGCGACGAGCAACAGTTTGCACGGCCAGTCAGTCGCTCGGGACTTTCTGCACTTCCGTTTCCGCTGGCGAGTTGCCGCTCTCACTTCTTCTGACTTCCGCCCGGACGAAGCGGCAACGGCGGCTGCTCGAGCTGAACTGTGGTTCCCCTTCATGGCTTCCATGTCTCTTTTCTCGCTTCCCTCGTTCCTGCCACACGATTCCCGTTACGAGTGCCTCGAACTCGGCGGAAAAGCTCTTCTTTCGCAGCTTTCGTCGCCTTCCAGTCGACTGGAAAGTAGAGCCGGTAAAAGCTAACGCGAGTGCAATGGATAATACAAGATTCTGTCACTGCATGAGGTGATTGGGCATTCATCTAACGGTTTTATGTTATATAATCCATTGGCAATAAAGGTTTTATGGAAGGGCACTAAATACAATAGATTGGGCTGAAAAGTGAAGAGTCAGCAGAACGTAGGGAAATCACTTCAGCACTTTCAAAATAATCCAAGATGCTCGTCTAAGTACTTGAAAAACGAAAGTAAGAAACTTTTTTTATGGTTTGAGAATTAGGTTTAATGCAACAATGTCGAAAAATATTTGTGCAAGATTTAAGCAGATTATTTTTTATAAGTAATATAATCGTATCTAAAGCTAATGAAAATAAATGTATACTTCTTCAACGCTGTTAGGTTTCTTGAGACTTTATATCTGTTAGATTAGATTAGGATTAGAACCGAGCTTCTTGTCTTAATTTTTTCTAGTTTATACACATTCTTTTAAATTTGTATAATTTGTAACATTTCATAAAAAATAAAACAACCACAATAAAAGAATATTATCAAAATAAAATCCAGTTATTGGCCAATTTCTGTTTAGGCAATAAATTAGAGTTGATTAATAAGTCATGATTTAGGATCAAGTTTTAAAAGAATTAGAGTTTATATTTATAAAGAAAAAATGTTAGTTTTTTGTTTGTTTGTGTATTATCTTGATCAACAAATAAATTAGCGTTCAATTATTGGATCATGATTTAATAAACATGAATTTTTTTTCTTTATCAATATTGGTGAAAATTTCCAGTCTTTGTTTTCTATTGTGTTGTTTTTAACCTTTCTCAAATCGTACTCTGCTCTATTATCAAAGAGTTAATACAAAGCTATATTAAAGCATTGCTAATCAGACCACAACGCCCAGATGCCAGGCGACAAATAAATACTCAAATAAACTTTAGGCTATAAAATCGATTGATTTATTTTTGTTGTTTTTGATTCTTTTCTTAATTCTTAAACTTATAGCTGCTTACATAATAAATAGTTTGGAAGTCTTGGTCTTAAGTTCTAGAGAAACGACAGTATAGGATTTGGATGATATAGGGTAGAACAGGATAACACTTTGGGTGAGTATGTGGGGGTGAGCAGGCATGCGGGGCGGGTAAAGATGTGTTTGTGTGTGTTAGCTTTCTTTCTGGGTTCCAACTTTCCTCTTAAAGGTTGGCAACGCGGGCGGTGAGCTCATCCAGCTCCTTGTAAATGGAGGCGGGCAGATCGGCGCCCACCTGCGATTCGAAGTAGGTGCGGATGTCCTTCACCTCCTGCGACCAGAACTCCTTGGGCAGCGAGAAGAGCTCCTCCACATCGACCTGCTCCTTCATGCCCTTCAGGTTGAGGTCACCCTCCGACGGAATGTGACCGATGGCGGAGTCCACGAAGCAGGACTCTCCGTTCACCCGGCGAAGGATCCACTCGAGCACTCGGGAGTTCTCTCCGTATCCGGGCCACATGAACTTGCCCTCGGCGCTCTTGCGGAACCAGTTGACGTGGAAGATCTTGGGCACCTGTCCCCTCTTCTCCATGCTCAACCAGTGGGCCACGTAGTCGCCGAAGTTGTAACCGAAGAAGGGCCTCATGGCGAAGGGATCGTGCATGATCACCTTGCCCTTGTGCTCCGCTGCAGCGGTGGCCTCGCTCCTCATGGCAGCTCCAATGAACACTCCATGGGTCCAGTCCCTCGCCTCGTAGATCAGTGGAACTCCCGCTGGACGACGACCTCCGAAGAGCATGGCGGAGATGGGCACTCCCGCCGGATCCTCCCAGGCACCATCGATGATGGGACATTGAGCAGCCGGGGTGCAGAAGCGGGAGTTGGGATGCGCGGCTGGCTTGCCGGACTCCTTGGACCAGGGCTTGCCCAGCCAGTCGGTGATCTGGACATTGGGAGCCAGGCTGCTCTCCATTCCCTCCCAGAAGACGCCACCATCGGAGGTGGAAGCCACGTTTGTGAAGATGGTGTTCTTGAACACGGTGTTCATGGCAATCGGGTTGGTTTCCATCGAGGTTCCGGGAGCCACGCCGAAGAATCCATTCTCCGGGTTGATGGCACGCAGCACTCCCTCCGAGTCGAACTTCATCCAGGCGATGTCGTCACCCACACACTCCACCTTGTAGTTGGCCAGCGAGGGGTTCAACATGGCCAAGTTGGTCTTGCCACAAGCGGAGGGAAAGGCGGCGGTGATGTACTTCTTCTCCCCCTTGGGATCGGTGATTCCCAGGATGAGCATGTGCTCAGCCAACCATCCTTCCCTCTTGGCAATGGTGCTGCCAATCCGCAAGGCGAAGCACTTCTTTCCGAGCAGGGAGTTTCCTCCATAACCAGATCCGTAGGACACAATCAGATTCTCGGCGGGCTTGTGCAGGATGATGGTGCGTTCGGGATCGCAGGGCCAGGATGGCTGCTCCACCTTTCCGTTGGCGGGAGCTCCCACCGAGTGGAGAGCCCTCACGAACTCCTCCTTCTTGGCCAGCTGACTAAGGACAGCGGCACCCATGCGGGTCATGATCCTCATGGAGGCCACCACGTAGGCAGAATCCGTGAGTTCGATGCCGATCTTGGAGAGCGGGGAACCCACTGGTCCCATGCTGAAGGGCACCACGTACATGGTGCGACCCTTCATGCAGCCGGGGAATCGCTGCTGCACCGCCTCATTCATGTCCTCGGGAGCGATCCAGTTGCCCAGGGCGCCCTTCACTCCCTCCAGCGGAGTGGGAATGGTCTCCTCCCTCTTCTCCGTGCAGATGAAGGTGCGGGATTCCACGCGAGCCACATCAGCGGGATTGGTGCGGGCCAGCCAGCAGTTCTCGTACTTGGGCAAGGGGACAATGGTGCCCGCCTCCAGGAGGCTCTTGATGAGCATCTTGTTCTCCTGCTCGCTGCCATCGCAGATGTGCACCTGCTCCGGCTGGCAGAGAGCGATTCCCTCCTCTACAAAAGCTCGAACTCCACTGGTCAGCGAATCCACATTTCCGTAGGAGATGGGAATGCCACGGATGTGGCTGTACAGACCGCAGTTGTCCTGGCGCAACTTGTGCAATTGGGGCAAACCACACACGTTGCCGGAGCTAAAAGTGCATATAAAATATATTTATTAATTAATCATTAAAAAAAAAAGTTAGTTAAATATGAAACTATAAATCCCCTTTAATTTCCCCCCTTTAAATGCATTTTGTATGATTTTCTTTCATACTTACATAATTTTGCTTTGTTCAATGAGCTCAGGCATTTTGCTTGTTTTGTATTTTATGAATTTGTTTCAAACGAGAAAAAACTTTGGAATTGTTTGTTGTGAAAAGAGTTTCTGTTTCTTATTTTTTTTTTTTGTTGGCACTTTGGCTTAGCTTGTTTATCACAATGGTTGGTTATCACAATTACTGTTCGACTGTCGAAGAAGACCTCAGGTTCATATGTTTTTCCACAGCTTTTTGTCAAACGTCAACTTGGTTTTCAGACCACTGAAAGTAGGCTTTTCACTTGATCTTTCCATTTACTCTGGCCACGAGTAACTGATGCCAGTCGCCGCGATCCGCGGCCTTTTATACCCGCAGACGGTGGATCCGACTAGAACAAGTCGGTCGATCGTGTTGAGGAATCGGGTTTTACGATCCAACGATCCGATGATTCCGACGATTCCGAGCGAGAGGGTCAAACTCCGGACGAGCTGATTGGTCGCCTTCGGAGGCTCGGCGATTGTTTTGGTTTTTCACTGTCTCGGCATCCGAATCGGGGCTATACTATACTATATTTGTATATATATATGGGGTATATGGGGTATGGGGTATGTCACCACTTGGCAACAGTGCGTTTGCAGTGATAAGCGTTTGTTGTTTGTTGTTATTTTGACACCCTGATATTTGCCACTTTCGCATTGTTAATTTAATTATTTTGTTTATGATTCTCGGCGATACGAATGCGCTGGTGAAAATAGAAACCAGTTCACGGACAGCTGAGCCAGCAGCAGAAACTGCTCCCTGCAGCTGGGAAAATTCTGGACGTGTATGCAGCTGCATTTTCTCGAATGTGGTTGCAACCTCGTGAAAAAATAGGCCTCCACACGCGCCCTCCCACGCCGAATGACCACATGTCTTTCACTTTTATTTTATTTTCGTTTGGCCTCCTGCCAAATCGAAAAAACTTTCGCTTATTTGCAGAATCGGTGACGGAAAATTTGTGTGCTAATCCGCCCCCCTTTTTCCGTTCAGATTCTCATCTGGTAGAGGGTCCCGGCCTCCTCAATTGGCCATGGCCGATTTGGAGGCCAGCATTCATGTGACTCTGTGGCACCAAGAATAGCCATCCGAATGGTTGTCATGTGGCCTCTCTTGTTTACGCCTCTGGGGAAGGAGAAATGAAGGTGCTCCCCCTGCTGCTGCTGGTGGTGATGAGACTTTGCCCCCCAATTCCAGTTAACCCAGAACAGAAGCCCCAAAATCCTCTGGCCACGCAGTGCAAAAAGTTACCAGAAGTTTGTTTTTATGTGGGAAAGTTTTTAGTAATAATATAAGCTATTTTTGAAAACAACAAATTTATTCTTTAATATTCTTATTTTTAAGTTTTAAATTGTTTATCTTTGCCACCTGCATAAACAATTCAGTTTTCATATATTCTAAACTAAAATTTGTGTTATTACAACCATTTTATCAAGGCAAAATATTTTCAATAAGTAGACTTGGTTATACAGCTGTTTTAAGTATAAACCACTAGCCAACTGCCAATTAATGTTATATGCTCCTCTTTAGTGAATTTCGGAATTCTGATTCGCGATTAGTTTACTGAAGACGGACAAATGTTTTTACACATGTACATTGAAGCTCAATTTTAATAACGTAAGTAATATTTTATATTTTTAATAGTATAGTTGCAGTTTATTTCTTTTATATTAAGGGTGTATTTTTAATAAAAAAAAATAATAAGTTGAAACTGTCAATTTGAAGTCAATTTCCCTTTATTTTTATTTTTTTATTTTCTTTTTCTTATATAATTTATTTTTATAGCTCTGAGAAAATAGCTTGAGTTTATTTAAAGCAGACCAAACGATGAAGAGAGATACAAACTGTGGCCACTTGTGTGAATTTTTCATTCCCGTTTTGCAATTACCACTTTTGGTGGCCGTTTGCAATCAGGTTCCGTTTACCGCTCACTTAGCCTAGACCCACAAGGGACTGGCGCCCAACGACCTTGGGGAAACCAGACCTTGGTCTGCCAGTAGTCCTTGGTCCTTGTCAGCCCCTCCATCTCCTCCTTCCCCTTTGCCCATCCCCCTTTTTTCAGATTGCCTTTACGACAAGTCCAGTTTCGAATTTAATCGCATTTGTCTGTCTACACGCGTCGCCTCGATTTTCGGTTGGTTTATTTATAAACTATGGACTTGTTTTTCTAGTTGGGCCTGATAATCTTCATCATCGCCGTTAATTGCTGAACCGAGACTGGGAATCAAAATCAGACTCGGACTCTAACTGCTTCGCTCCTGTTCTCAACCTCTCCACAACTTGGTTGGCGCATTTCGATGATTCGGGCTAAATCGAAACGTACGTCAATAGACGTTCAATCGACTAAATATATGCATAATCAATATGCGATCTGTTTGGGAAGGCCGGTTGGGTTATCAGCGGACGAGCCTCTGAGCTCGGTTAATTATAGAACACACCCGGATCTGTTCTAGAAAGCAGGAAAATTTTCCTAAGGAAAAGAGTCGCCAAGAAGATTTAAAAGAGTTAATTTCTTTTGTCCATGTTCCTTTGTTTTTGTTGAGTTTTTGCCTGATTTTTTTGGTTAATTCTTCTTTTGTGTTATTGGCTTATTGGCTTGTTATCACTTTGGACCCCAGAGGCTAAAAGGCTAAAACACACCACACGCTCCCAATTTTTGCAATCAGGCCTTGGCAACCCGCCCCGCCCAAAAAAAAATATAAAATCATTTGTTCCATAAAGATTTTTGGCTTCCTCTGGCATTTTATTTGCTTGTTTTTCCTCGATCGGCGATCCGTTGATAAGTTAGGTTAAACGGCATTATTATGGATTTATACGCTTGTTTACGCCAATTGCTGACGGGCCTCCGACTTCGGCGACTACTGATAACTCGGGCCACGCCCCAAATTCCAGTTTCTATTCATGTCCGAAATGAAACCACCAGTCGAAATTTAACCATAAAAATCTCGTTCGTTTCGTTTTATTTAAGGCAATAGGGCAATTAGTCTTAGATTAGGGAGTAACCTATGGAACACACACATCACATGTCCGCCACACGCGCCTTCAGTTCCTTCAGCTGATCGGCCACCTCACTCGGCAGATGGTGACCCACCTGCTCCTCGAAGTACTTCTCGATGGCGCACACCTCCTGCTCCCAGAAATCCTTGGGCAGATCGAACAGCTGCTCGAGATCTACATTATCTTTAAGGCACTCTAAATTCAGAGAGTCCTTGGTGGGCAGGCGACCGATGGGTGAGTCCTCGTAGATCTCTTCACCCTCCACCCGCCGGAAGATCCAGTCGAGCACTCTGGAGTTCTCCCCGAATCCTGGCCACAGGAACTTCCCCTCGGAGCTCTTGCGGAACCAGTTGACGTGGAAGATCTTGGGCACCTGTCCCCGCTGCTCCATGCTCAACCAGTGACCCAGATAGTCGCCGAAGTTGTAACCGAAGAAGGGTCTCATGGCGAAGGGATCGTGCATGATCACCTTCCCCTTGAATTCCGCAGCTGCCGTGGCTTCACTTCTCATGGCAGCTCCAATGAACACTCCGTGCTTCCAATCCCTCGCCTCGTAAACCAAAGGAACTCCAGTGGGACGTCGTCCTCCGAAGAGAATAGCCGAGATGGGAACTCCTTCGCTGTCTTCCCAGGAGGGATCGATGATGGGACATTGGGAGGCGGGAGTGCAGAACCGCGAGTTGGGATGAGCAGCTGGTTTTCCCGACTCCTGTGACCAGAGTTTTCCCAGCCAATCCGTGACTGTCACCCCCTTCAGCTGATCCTTCTCCATTCCCTCCCAGTAAACACCTCCATCCGAAGTGGATGCCACATTCGTGAAGACAGAGTTCCTGAAGATAGTGTCCATTGCAATTGGATTGGTGGCCCTTGAGGTTCCGGGAGCCACGCCGAAGAATCCATTCTCCGGGTTGATGGCACGCAGCACTCCCTCCGAGTCGAACTTCATCCAGGCGATGTCGTCACCCACACACTCCACTTTGTAACCAGGCAAAGTGGGTGTCATCATGGCCAAGTTGGTCTTGCCACAAGCGGATGGAAAGGCGGCAGCAATGTAGATCTTCTTGCCCTGCGGATTGGTTATTCCAAGGATCAACATGTGTTCGGCTAACCAACCTTCTCTCTTCGCAATTGTGCTGCCAATTCTCAAGGCAAAGCACTTCTTTCCGAGGAGGGAGTTTCCTCCATAACCTGAACCATAAGACACAATCTCATTCTCCGCTGGTTTGTGCAGAACGATGGTTCTTTCAGGATCGCAGGGCCAAGATGGCACCGCCTGTACTCCACTTTTGGGTGAACCCACCGAGTGCAAACACTTGACAAACTGGCCATCTCCACATTGCAGGTAATCAAGCACGGGATTACCAGCCCTTGTCATTATCTTCATGGACTCCACTACATAAGGTGAGTCCGTGATCTCGATGCCAATCTTCGAGAGCGGTGAACCCACTGGACCCATGGAGAAGGGTATTACGTACATGGTGCGACCCTTCATGCAACCGGGAAATCGTTCGTTAATGGCCGCCTGCAAGTCCTCCTCCGGCATCCAATTACCGAGCACTCCCGGTGTGGCTTTCTCCGTCACCGGAACCGTCTCCTCCTTGCAATCCGTGCTGATGAAGGTCTTCCCCTCCACTCGCGCCACATCCGCCGGATTCGTTCGTGCCAGCCAGCAGTTCTCATACTTCGGCAAAGGAATGATGGTTCCCTGCTTCAGCAGGAGCCCCTGGAGCAGCCTGCTCTCCCTTTCGGTTCCATCGCAGATGTGCACCGAATCCGGCTGGCAGAGATCCACGCATTTCTCCACGTATTTCTTAACGGCGGGGGTGAGCACTTTGGCGTCTCCATATTGAACGGAGAGGGAGCGGCAGGCCAGGCGGAAGTTGTACTTCCTCGCTGGAGAAACCAAGCTGGAGGAAGAAAAAAAAAAGATAGCTTTACAAAATTATTTACAAACGAAAAATAAAATATGTTATATATTTTCAGAGCGAGTTCGAAATTGTTAATTTGACTTAATAATATGCAAGTAAACAAAAAGAACATTTTATGCATTTTTCCTTTTGATAAAAACTAAATTTGAGAATATGTATTTTGTTTAATATCCCTGAAAAAAATTATTACAATTTGCCCAAAAATATTTATAAAGAAAAAAGTTAAGTATAAAGGTTGGAAAAATGAGACATAGTGTCCAAGATTCACAATTCATGTGGTAAAATTATTTGGGAAAAGCAAGAGAAATAAAATTGTTTTATAAGAGGAAAGGGTATAGACGATATGTATGTATTTCAAATTTTGGTTTTTAATAGAAAAATTTAATCGGATAGATTCATCAAAATTTAAATCTATATACCAATCGAATCGCAATATGATTGGCACATTATTATCTATACAAAATAGGAAAAGGAAATGACGCAATTCAAATGGGTTACACTTCCCCTACGGAAAGCAAACAATTTATTTTTTTTCAACATTACCCTAGGTTATGATAACCTTAGAGGTAGGTAAAAAGGTATGGAAGACCTATCCTATCCTAACCAATTCCCTGACCACAGCGACCTTTTAAGATACTCTACCTACAACAACCGCCACTCGTACAGCTGACTACCCGAAGCGAGCACAACTGTACCCCCTTGTGTGGCGGACCTCGTAACGTGAATTTCAAATTCTAAGCGGTAACGCACCGCCGCTGGAAAAGAGCCAGTGCCGCCGAAGAAACAAATACAGATAAAAATAAAAACAAAAACAAAAACAAAAACCAAAATACAAACAGAAAAGATACAGCCAAACTGGCTGATCAGCTGTTTGGTCGTCTGGTAGTTCAGGTTTTCGATAGCTCCACTCCAAACTCGAGAAACTTGCTCGCCGCAATTTGCACAGAGTTTCGCGATCTGAGGGGTGAAGAGGGGGTGTCTGGGTGGTAATGGGGGCTCCCAGCCGATCCAACCTTCGCTTGGCGACCAGCCCACGTCACTTTCATTAGAAGCGGGTCCAGCCAGAGCTCCCCCGAACAGCATGATGCAATCTTTCATCATATTTTCGCGGCATCATACCGTATGCAAACTGCTCTTTGGCTCTCTGTTTTGATTTTGGCGAAAAAATCGAAGAGCAGGTAGCCTGGTTGTATCCACTACACAGATAAAAAAAAAGATAATAAGATACTTAAAAGATAAATAAATATTTAAACTGCTCTTATCTTTTTCACAGATATCATTATCAATATAATTGCATTTTTATTTTTTATCAAACTTGGGTGTTCTATTTAGATACCATTAATCATTTAATTATACCCATTAAGGTGTTATAATATTTTTGCTGTGTACTTCCGGCAGATATCTCTGAGATACCCAAGTGTGTGTGTGTGGGTCAGACAGATCACTTGCCAGACGGCTCTCGTTTACATGGGGTTCAAAGTCCAGCGATTCGATTCGATTCCCCGCCTCCAACTCGCCATCGAAATTGTCGTTTACACGCGCTCAGGGTTGCCCCACTTGTGACGTCAGTCGACCGTCTGATTAACCATAGAAATACCCCCGAAATGAATGTATGTTTTATAATTTTCGAAACTGCGCAGTTTTCTCTTGAACACAGAGACACATATACTTAATCTGGCCTGGTTTATATTAGCATAAGACGTCTGCATGTTCGTGGCGTGTGAGCCGAATGATAAACTCTGCGATGTCTCTTAGCGCCTCGGCTTCGCGAATTCTAAGCCCTGAACGGCAAAGCTTGCCAATTAAGCCGATAAATTTAATGAAAATTTTAATTTAATTCGAAGCCATTATTAAGTGGCTTTGTTGTGGGTTTTCCATGGCCTGCGTCTGGCTTTTATCGTGGCATTTGCGTGCGAGAACATCGTTGGCCAACTTCAAATAGTCCAACAATATTTATAATAGCAGTGATATTGATAAGAGAGCATATAGGCGAACCGCTTTAATCCGAATCGTACTGCTTTAGTATCGCTGTTGACACCAGCAGCTAATTATTTGAGCAGCACTCGACTTTTCAACGCGGATTTGATTTGATTAGGGACACGCGCCTTGGAAGCTGAAAAATCCGCTGCGTATTCGATTCTATTTCGGGAGATAACAGAAAAGCATCTGACTGTCGCGGAATGGGCCCCAGAATTTCCCCTGGCCTTTTGAAAATGGCAATTAAAGCCATCTAATGACGCCACGAATGTTGACCACTTCGCACAGTTGGCATCCCATTTTGACTCAAAATACCCTACCAAAAAGCCCTCGAAACATACAGAGAATCGCAATGAGTAAGCGTTTATCTCGAAATCCAGTGTGTTTCCCACTTCGTCGACTTCCTCCTTCTGTTTACGCATTTATTTCTGTTTTTTATTGCAAAAATACGTAGAATTTTCAGCCAGCGCGTGTTGTGTCTGTGGATGTGTTTTTGATGTGGAAAAAGAACATATCTGTCTATTAATAGGCCGGTTAATAGGATACAAAATGTCCCCCCAAAGCACTTGGCAACAGTCATGGGGGAGTCAGCTGATTCAGAAGATTTTCCCCCATTCGAAAAACTGTACTTGCAGTCTGACGAAATAAACGAAACTGGTTCCATCAGATTCAGAGGGTTCATTAGCCTTGGCCCTCAGCCTTAGATTCAATGAAGGAGAGATTCGGTATCAGGAAAATGAAGGCGAAGGGCAGCCACAATCTGCGGCTTATCGGCTTGGCGATTCAGTCGACCATCGAGGGTTGCTGGTCGGTCAGACATTCGAGGGTACTTAACTCAACAGATGGAATGTTTTTCATTGAACCACAAAATAATTCAGTAGGGAATACTACAATACATTACTATTTTATATACATTACTATTTGCATTCTTATTACGCTTAAGCTATAGTTGAAACTTGTGACTTGTCTGGGGGAAAAATCCCTATCAGTACCCGAGATGCAAAGTTTTCCGCTAAATAGATTATAACCCGCGTCATCTTGAATCAACACACATTAATTTATTATTGTTAATATTTAAAAATAACAAAGAATTTTTAGATGAGTAATCAATTAGTTATAGTATCCTTGTTCTTTCAGACAGCTTTGTTCTCATAAATTCTTTTCCTCAATTAACTACGCAGAAAGTGTGGCAGTAAACCCGGTCTGAACTGGATTTTATAGCACTCTGTCTGGAGGAGAGTTTATACCTACTCGTAGAATGCTGTAGAATAATGCTCATTACCGCATATCAAAGTCCACGGAATACAGGCAACTAATTTCGTATTTTGTTTACCGACTGATAAGCGAATCCCGACTACCCACGCTTCCCTATAGAAAATTATACATATTTTTAGATTAAAGTATTCCGGGAGTGATACAATGTGTATAAGGTAATGGTCGAATGGGGTCATCTCTCTGATCTGTCTGGTTGGTTCCATGGGTTATATGAATTACATGGAATAAATTCCGTTTGGAATCGGCTGAATGCAGCTTACTTAATGAATGAGTGATTCATGTTGGAGTGTTCTAGCAAACAAAGCGTCATGATTTCGGCATATGTATCTTATCTAGAAGTTTTGGGAATTCTCGGAATACGTGGTAAACAAACCATTAACTGATAAGACATCATTTGCAGACTATGAGCCCCGTCTCCTATGCTCAGCAATTTGATCGCTGATCGATGGGGCCTTCGCAAAAAGGCGCGTGTCTCTTTAAACCGATAAGCAGGAATAACATTTATTATATTTAAGAAACTGTTTTGATTCCCTGGCCTGCGAAAGTAAAGCAAACAGAAAATAAAGCTATTTTGCAAACGGGGGCTCGGCCTGAAAAATACATTTCGATGAACCGCCTCGTCAACAACAATATTATTGTTGTTACTTCGCGGTCGTCGTCTTTTCTTAAGGTTATCATCAATGGCAGGTCGACGGAACAAGAAAGTATCTGCTGGAAAGTATCTAGTGGATACCTCTTCCCCGAAATACTTTCATATTAGGTTGGGGAATTAGCTAATGCAACTGGATTTCGAGTGGGCTTATCGCCAAAAAAGAGTCTCCAAAACACGCCACCCCATCAAAACAGAAGCCAAAAGTAAAACAGTCAACAGGCGAACAAAGATTTCCGAACGTTGTTGCTAGGCGGCCTCAAAAACCCATACATGCAGCGCTTTGTTTTTATTTTGCTAATGGCGTCACATACACACATATTTACACACCCACACACAAAAAGAGAGGCAGAGCCAGTCGAGCAACTTGCCGATCACACAAACACACACACCTGCAAACACTGAAATAACGAGCCAAAACAAAACTACAAAAATAATAAAGAGCGTGGGGTCTTTGGGGGGAAACGCTGATAAAAAACCGAAACAAAAGAAAAGGCGCGAATCGAAAAAGCTTTTCATTGAACAAAAGTGTTTGGAAAAAGTGTTGCATAAACACAGGCGTTCCAAGCGAACTTTTGTGGCTTTGGTCACTCACCTGTCGCCTGAAAGTAGGCAGTAGAAAATATTTGTGTGCTGTTAATCAGCAAAAAGAAAATAAACAAGCAATACTTGATACACTCTAAAAAATAGCTAAGCTTTTTAATATTAGGAACAATTTCATTATTTCTTATCTTAGCTCAGAAGTTCAAGCACAATTATCGAAAAAAATTAAACGATCAATACCTACATGCTACAAACTAAAAAAATGTAGTTATTTTTGGTCTTAACTCATATCTTTAATTTTTTAACTCTAGCATAAATTATTAATTGATTTATTTAATTTATATAATGCCAATCAAAATTTTGTCTATATTGAAAATGTTTTAGTAAATCTATCCGTTTTGGTTCTATGTATATAACAAGGCTAGACCAATTCTTTTTTCTTTAACCTTTTTGGCAGTGGGTAAATCCAGGAATATAAACCCCAAATATAAACTAAGGTAAAGTTTAACCCAAAACAAAAACATGTATATTCAATCAAATAATATGTTTTATATGTTAATATGTAACTAAATAGAGCTTTTTGCAAGAAAAAGAGAGAGAGAGAGAAAATCTTTCAAATATCTCAGCACTAAGAGATTAAGAACTCTCTATAAAGCGGCGAGTGCAATGATCTTGGAGCTTTATAGATGACATTAACATTGAATGCAGTGTAGCTGGGGTTGATTATGCCACTTGTTTACGTGAATGAAAGTGTAACGGACGCTCGGCGACTTTAAGAGCGTGGAATTTTCCCGCCAAGCGATAAGAGTGAATCACAACTAGTAGTAACAAATCTTGCTTGAGGTAGGTAAGTTGTTAATGAATGGCAATACTAAGACGGATTAACCTTAGGGCTTGTAAGGCAAGTAGACCACAGAATGTTGTTTAGTTTGTGTTTGCATACCCTCTTAACTAGAAATCATGGGTATACTGATTTGGGGACAATCAACTTTGCATATACAAATTGTGTAGCTCATTTAATGAGATCAAGTATTAAAATTTAACCTATCAGATTTTTTTAATTTGCAAGTCTCATCTCTAATTATCAAACTGTTATTTATATACAAAGGTAACTTTATTAGAAAATTCAGATTATTCATTTATAATTCGCTTGCCATACTTTTGAATCAACATTTATGTGATTAAGTATGTTTTTTAAAGAGAGCGGAATGTTGTTTTAATCAACAGTACACAAATTAATTTAATATTAAACATAATCAGCATTCTTCCTAGATAAGAACAGTATTGTGTTTATAACGAATGTTTTCAAATGATAAGATTAATTACTGTCAAAACTGGGGTTTACGTAGAACAAAATGATTAGCAAATAGCGATCAGCAATGGGTAGAAACAAATCTGTAATATTATAGTTTTTTTTTTGGGTTCTTATATGGAATAATACATACATATAGGAACACAACTATCTAACATTCTAATAGAAATACAAAGAATCAATAACTACTTACATTAATAGGCAGAAATACTTCTTACTTAAACTTCGTTTTGTTGCATTTGCTGAGGTATTTTAAATACTTCGAGGGTATAAATCCATCGAACCTAATGCTGATTAATGGGTTTACTATCCGACCACCTGTCAGTGGATCGCTTGGGGTTTAACCCCCTTGAATCCCGCCAATCCCGCGGAATCCCATTAGACTCACCCGCATCGCAGCAGTTGTGCGCCTTTGAGCAGCATTCTGTCACCTGGCTGTGGTCGCTTTCACTTTTGCCGCTGATTCCCTTGGCAGCCGATGCAGTTGCAATTTTATCTCCGCCTTAATTAATTTACTGCGCTTCGTTTCGAGCGGAGGGCCCTCCGGTTAATTAGTTGAAATTGAAATTGCCAACTAAATTTGAATTTATCTCACGGCCTGCAGTGCACTCGCCTCCAACTGGCAATTCACTCGGGAGCACTTGTCGCGCTTCAGTCCCAGCCTAAGACTCCGATTCGGATTGGGATTCAGGCGCAGATTTGGATTCGGATTCAGATACGGATATAGCGGAGCACTTGTTGCTGCTCTGGCACAACGAGCCAAACTGACTTCATGCGGCACTCGCACTGCACCCAAGTAACATGGGAATCGAATGTGCGCACTCAGCCGAGCATTTTGCTTTTCGGCTTCCCTTGGGTCTTTGCCTCTGCTGCTCAGTCGCTCTCATGCGATCCCTCAGCTATTCGACTCGATCCCATCCGATTCGATTCGATTCGACTCGAATTCGATTCGATTCTTGCCGCCGAAGCATATGGACTATATGTTTTGCCTCCGCTCCGATAAGATAACACGCTACTTGGTTGCCGTTGCATTCGCCGCTCGTGCTACGTGCCGCCCATTGCATATGCAACTGGGGAACGGGAAGGGGAGCGGGAAGAAGGGGAAGGGGGTTTGAGCTCCAGAGCGGTCTGGAAAAGCCGGGAGACCCGAGCCACGCCCCCTTTTCGGGCACACCGGTCTGGCGGGTCTGTGGAGCTCTTTTGCAATGTCTGCGCTGTTATCACACAGATGGGCTTACGCCATCGCTGCTCTGCTGCTACACTTAGAGAAATTCATTAGTTAAACTATTGCTTTGCTTTAGCTGTTCTTATTATTTGCTGGCATCATCAGATCAAAAGATAAAATACACATAATTTTGGAAAAGGAAGAGTACTTGACAGAAAGTGGAATGATATAGCTCTTTTAAAATAGTAGAAACTATTAAAATAAAAAATTATAAAGAGGACGTGATATTAAAGAGTGTGTTAAAAATAATAATAATTATGGTATTGATTTCAAAGTATTTAAAAAATTAATACAGATTTAAAATAAATAATTTAAAAGAACTAAACTATTTTAAATAAAATCCTGTATAACTTACAATTTTGTAAAATTCTTTGCTTGAAACATAACTTAGAAATTTAAAAAAAATAATACCATTTGCTCTGCAAGAGTATAAATATATTATATAATTAAATATAAAAATATAAATTTCAAGCGTAATATTTTTTTTAGTGCAGTGTCCTAATAAATTGCTTTCTCCCTCATGCATTCTGCTTATCATATCGAACTTGGCTTCCAGTCCGGAGATATCGTTTTACTACTGTTAGCATATTTATAGACCAATGCCATTTACGATGCTGGTTTCAAATAAAACGGTTAACCGAAACACCCAACATTGAAGGTCAAACTGGACAACTCTTTCTCCGAGTCTCTAGCAGAAATTCAACTCCAAAAGAGGCCTGTCTTGTCTAATCATTCGTACATATGTCACCAAAAGCAAAACAAAACAAATCGAAACTTTCCCTAGACGATAAGCGTAATCATTAATTGTTAACTCGCGGTCCAAGGTGCTTTGACCAGGGGGCAACAAACCAAAAAAAAAACCAAAATATAATAAATATTGTCGTCTATCGAGAACCCACAAAACCTGCAGATTCGTCTGCTGCGGATTAAACGTGCCAGCTGTGATACAGTAAAACCCCCAAAAACACAAAAACAAAAACACTCAAAGTTCGTTTTGCTCTTCTTCAACTTAACGCACTAATCATGAAATATCTTTATTAATAATAATTTCTTGCGTACGGTATAATAATATTTCATATAAGTATTCATCTCCTTGCAGTGTTTTCTTTTTTTGTTTAATACATTCAAATTTACACAAGTCCGGGGCTTTAGCACTACGACAATAATTGATACACAATATTTATAGTAGAACTAGGTATAATGATAAATACGTACTGTATATATATATAGGTTTAATGCTCGTATATATAGTGGCGTAAACAAGTAAACTATACAATAGGCTTGGTACTATGTATTTGGTTTCGGTTTCGGTTGCGTTTGCATTGCGAGGATTCGACTTTAATGGATAAGGTGGGGGGATTGGGGCAACTAAGTCCTGTAACCTCCTCCTGGAACTTTACAATCATGTAAATATGCGTATAAATCTGCTGTCTAATCGGATCCTTGATCGGAACTGCTTTTGATTGGCGGTGTAAAAAATGGATACATATCTCCCAAAAATAAGTCGGTTAAATCGGATAAATCGGAAAAATTCCTGCTCTCTATGGGGAAATCTACCGCGTCGGTCGCTACAAACCTTTCTAAACTCGACGGGCCATATCATAAGTATATTTCTATATTTGTCTTATTGTCTTCAACGTTCTGCCTTCCTTCTTTGAGTACTTTGAAATTCCATGTGTTTTGATTCAGTTGTCAGTTATTCAGATATCGAGTTGCCTTTCCGAAAAAAGCGAAAGTTTCTGGGGGATTGTATGAGAACCATTTTGCGGAAACCGAATTGGAATATGGAACATGGCTAGGACTATCTTTTTTGGGTATCCGGTGGAGGGAACTCAGGTGAACAATGGGGTGCCGCTTAATAACTAGTTAAATATTAGACGCTTCATGGTTTCCCTTCTTCGATAGAACTTTACAACCACTAAAACTATTCACAGCAGTTTATTTTTCATGTTTTGTTTTCCTTGTTTTTAGCTCTGTCAGTGTGGGAAAATACTCTTGAGTGGCTCGAACGGGGAAAATAGATTGAGAGAGTGATTTGGGGGGATTCGGGGATGAAAAGTCTTAACACCTAAACATTGAGGATATTATGTAGAATATCACACATTCCATGTATCTTTCACTAATCAATACAGTAAGTATAGGTATTTGTTCAACTCAACTAGAACTCGAAGTGTTAATATTGTGTCTCAACGCTCTTAACCTGTTTGAAGTAATATTAAAGTGTGTAACTCCGTTAAGATTAAATACATTTATAGTTCGGGTGAGCTCTACTCGAGGTCAAATTAAAAACACGGCAGATCTACACTAAAACTAAATGTTGAGTTTAACTCGTTGGAAATGCGCTGGCTAAGTAGATAGACTATTAAGCGTTTGCCATAAAATAGTTTTCATCGGGGAGTGTCGGGAATTTGGTTTGGAATTGGGATTATTTGGAGGGGATTTTCAGGAGGGGGAGTGCGGATAATGGGTATAAGAAATACTTTCCGTTTGTGTGCTCGAGTGTCTAATGGTAAAGCTTTAAGCATTCCAACTAAATGCTACATAATCGAATTTAAATTTAAACTCTTTGCAACCCGTTTTCGATAATACCTATCATCCTGCGGCACATTGTACTCGTACATAGTTTTTGTTAAATTTAATTTAGTTTGGGTTTAGTTCAGTTTGTGTTAAAATACGATTTAACAATTTTAGTTACGCACTCGAGTGCAATTCTCCGGCTGTTTATTCTGTTAATTACTTAGTTTATCTTTAAATTATGTTAAAATACTTATAGTAAATATTTATAAATGTTTGCGCTTCGCTCGGCACGCACTTTTCCCTCTTTTCTCGTCTCGGTTAAATACACTTCACTTGCCATTTCGTTTCGGTTCTGGACCTCATTACCTGGACTTTCACCTGGACCTCTACCTGTATATGTATCTGTATCTGTATCTGTATCTTTATCTGTGTCTGTACCCTGAATGGCTTCTATGTGTGGTGGATGGGCTTTGTATCCTCAGACATCGTACGCCTCCTTCTTGTAGTTGTTCTTTCTGCTGGTTGGCACATTTAGCACGTTCGATGTCTTGGCGGTTGTCGTCGGACGCATCATCATCATTCGCATGGTCATGGGCTTGTCCTCCTCCTCGTCGTCGGAGAAATCACTTTGGGTCTTCACATGACCGCCCAGCGCGGGACCGCTGAAGTCGTTCTCGTCGTCCTCGTCGTCCTGATTGGAAAGAGGGGAGTTCGGATGAGGGATGAGACTCAACATGACAGGCAAACAAATGGGCGGACGCCGGGTCCTCTAGGAAATCAAGAACTGCTTACGAAATTATAGTACATAAATCAAATGGGCTGACACCACGCTGCGTATACTTGATATTCTACACAAGCTCAAGCGAAAGCTCTCTACACGAAAGCAGAATTTTCAACTCATATTCACTACAAGTCCAGTGATTACTTTACTGTAATGTAGGTGTAAAGTAGATGTACATTACAGCAGGGGCGTACGAAGGAGATTTTAAAGAGGGGTTTCGGTTGGATAGCCAATTTAAATATTTTTGTATAAATTTAAAAAATAAAAATTTTGATTTATCCTTCGTACACCTTTATATAACAGGGTCCGCCTTTTGAATGTAAAAGATTTGAAACATACCAAAAAACATTGAAACAATGAACAAACAAACGAACGAATCAACAAACAAAATGGTAAATGGTTAATCTTGGTAATTCCTTAATTACTTTACCTGGAATTAGCCACGATCAGCTGCCAATTGGGATTCTACACACCACAGAATGGCCTTCTTATATACACTCATTGCCTTTTACTAATTCTGCTGAGTCGTCAAGCGATTTGCTAGTCTTTTCCCTAAACTTAAGTTTGTAAATAATTGTTCTGGCCTTATCGATTTGGTTTTCGTTTTAAAAGAGCTGTTTGCGATTGTTTGCTAGCTAACATTAATTGCTGTGCGTTGATTAGTTCTTAGTGGTATTGAGTACAGTTAATTGCTTTTAAACCAAAGATGAGCATTTCTTTTGAGTCGAGGCATGTCCTTCTTGGGTTTTCGGTTTCTCTGGTAGTTCAGTGTGTAGTGTTCGGTGTTCGGTGTTCTGTGTTCTGTGTTTCTGGGCCATGCAAAGGGCTTTAGTGAACTACGTTTACTTTAACCTATCCTAGTTTTAACTGCTTGATGTCTGATCTATGGGGTTCTCTAAAACTTGGCGCTGCACTTAAGTTTGTATCCATGGCTTCGTTTTCGATTTCGGATTCAGATTCAGATTCGGTTTCGGATTCGTATTCGGTTCGTTCTAATTCTAAACATTGACCAATGAAAGTGGACACGGGAGCAGAGGGGAAAGAAGAGCAGAGAATTGTGTGATTAGCTTAGAGTGTTGTTCGAGATGTGCAGGTGAGTTGGGAGGTATTCTGGATGGGCTATAGCCTTTCTATCGAGGACGAGGCACAACTTACGTCATAGTCTCCAATTGTGAAGCGTGTCGCCGCTAGTGAATCTTGCGGTGGCATATCCGGACTCATGTTCTGAACGACAATGGGCGTGAGTTATTGGTTATGTATTCGGTATTTGGATGTAATTGTAAGCATTGTCAGATAGGAAAAACAAGCGCAAGAGTGAGGAATGTATCGTTAGGTGAGAGAAAGACACAATTAGTCACACGTATAGACCAAAAGAGAGATGGGCGTAGACTTAGCCTAACAACACAACGAATGGTACAAAATGGTACAAAGAAAGCCCAAATCGAGACTGAATCGAAAGTATTAAAATCCGATTTGGCTTAGGATCTGCACTTACATCGTCGTCGTTGTCGATCATCTCCTTGGTGGAGGCGGTCGTCTCGTTTCGCCGGATCGATCCCTGGTGGATGTCCAGGTCCACCTTGAGGCACTGGAAGCTGCGCATGAGGAACACGATTGGCATCGGCAGGACCCCGGCCAGGATCATCGACAGGGCGATGCCCATCACCCAGTTCGGGTAGCTCTTCTGTTCAATCATGCCCTGCGGGAAGGAAAAGAGGAGATTAGTATTTAAATATAATTTATAAATGAAGAAAAACGTTCAGCTTTAAACAGCAATAAATAAAATTGCAAATCATACATGAATTCTTTATAATGGAGGGTATATATCCATTATACAGAATCAATCAATTGTATTTAGCTTCTAAGAGTTATAAAGCTTATTAAAATTTAACGGGATTGTCAAAACTTTATAGGGCATGTTCTTAATTTAGAAATCCAGCTATGCTTTATATTTATTTATATTACACATCTGTTTGTATTTAAAACTTGTTTTGAATTTCACAAAAACTATTTGACTTCTTAGAAAATTTTACTTATTACTATTGAAAAGTATGGAAAGTTAACAACCATGTGTTTTCTTCAAATGTATGTTACGACTTATTTCAAACCATTTAGGAGTATTGAATAATTGTAGTTTTTTATTTCTCTCATAGCATAATTACATGTAGTTCTTACAATTAACTTCTAGTTTATATTCACTCACCAGATCGGCATTCCAGGCACCGTAAGTGGGATTTCTGATGACCATGAACACCACGGAGGAGACCAAGATGCAGACCATGATGACGGGGCCGATGTACCGCCAAGTCCACTGCCAGTAGAGACCAGGTCGGTAGCCGGTCATCTGGTAGATATCCTCAGTGAAGCTATATATAAACCCGTATTAGTACTACTTCCTTTTAATCAGAATAACAATCCTACCGCTCGTGTCCGTAGATGAAGATCACGGCTATCATCTCCATGAGGGCCACCACCACGAGGCCAATGGTGCCGGCAAAGGAGTCGAACATCTTGAGCCAGTACTCGCCGGCACCTGTGCAGAAGATGAAACCGACAATGAAGCAGAAGAGACACACCACGCCAGTGACGTGCTGTTTCTTAACCCGCTTGATAATGTCGATGTCGAAGAGGGTGCACAGCATGCCCTCCAGGATGCCGATCTGCGAGCCCAATCCCAGCGAGAGCAGCATGGTGAAGAAGAGCACCGCCCAGAAGGGAGCTCCTGGCAGCTCCACGATGGCCTGGGTGAACACAATGAAGGCCAGACCAGTGCCCTCAGCGGCCTATTAAATAAGATATATTGTAAATCTCTCTAAAAATGAATAGCTCCTATATTCAAACAGTACTCACATTATCCAGTTCGTGGGCCAAACTGCACTCAGTGAGTTGCAAGCGGGTCAAGTCGGTTTCATTCAGCAAACTCATGGCGTGCTCATAGCCCTGGGTGTCATTGATGCCCAGCAGCTTGTTCCTCACCAGGATGTCCGTATTGCTGAAAAGGGGGAGGAGGAACCCAAGGGGTAAGGTAATCAGTGAAGTCCAGTGCGAGTCGGTTAGAACCCGATGGACAAACGGTTCATGGGCAATTGTGCATAACTCAACGTGGGTCCGTTAATTGATGCAAATTGACAGACACGACCGCGATTCCATATGGGTACGAGTATATCGATTCGAATATCAATGGATGGTTGGATGGTTGGAGATACACCCACCGAGCTGGCGCCTCATTGATACGCAAATAGACACAAAGACAGTTTTGCTAAGCCGGTTACAACTGGTCATCGAATGGGTGACCCACCTAGGGGGAAACCACTGATGCGTATGAGCACCCAACCCACCAACTCACCTGGCCACACAGCGATCCACATTAACGGTGGCCTTGAATCCCAGAATGGCGAAGATCACCACGCTGGCGTAGATTGCAGTTACCGCATTGCAAACGGAAACCAGGAGCACATCCCTCACGCAATTGTTCTTTGGGGTGTTGTAGCTTCCAAAGGCAATTAATGAGCCAAAGGCCAAGCCAAAGGAGTAGAACACCTGAGTGGCTGCATCCAACCACACCGTGGGCTCCAGCAGCTTTTCCACCTTCGGCGTGTACATGTGCATTAGTCCAGCTCCCGCTCCTCGCAACGTGATTCCCCGGATGAAGAAGATGGTCAGCACGATGTAGGGGAACAGGGAGGTGAAGTAGACCACCTTGCCGGAGCTCTGGATGCCCTTCATCACGATGAAGAAGACGATGGTCCAGGAGAGCATCAGGCAGAGCACGATCCACCACTTGAGGCCACCCGGTTCGTCCATCGAGGGAGCCGCATCCAAGGTGGTCCTGTACCAGAAGTACGTCGTCTCCGATGACTTGGCGCACTCCTCCAGCTCAAAACCCGTTCCATTCAGCGGACAGGTGGACCAGGGCAGCGGGTACTATTAAAACAATTCATTAACTATATATTTTATTAGAAAAGTATGTATAAACTCACTCGAAAACTGTTGAAGAGGTAGAAGAACACCCACGTGATAATCACGTTGTAGTAGAGAGCCACAAACAGAGTGACTATGCAGGAGGAGATGCCGATGCCACCCAGCCAGGGGTGGATGGTGTTCCACACACCCAGGGCACCCAACCTCATTCGCTGACCGATTCCCAGCTCGATGAGGAAGAGGGGAATGCCTTCCAGTATCAACATCACCATGAAGGGTATCAGAAACGCACCTGCAACGGAAAACCAGAGGGTTAAACTTGTCTTACAGAATGATGTATGAACAGTACAATAGAAAAATAAAAATATAGAAAAAAGAAATAAGAATGTAGTTTTCGAAACCATATTTAATAATTAGAGGAATATATTTTCGTTTCTATATTAGAGGGTTTAACCTGACCATATATTAATCTTATTTTTACCCTATAAAAACTAGTTAAAAAAATACATTCAGAAAAACTTGCAATATACAAAATTTAGTTTACTACAATTAAAATTAAAACAATATGGAATAAAGAGTTTTCCTTTGAAATGGTTTTTGGCTTTTACAAAATAATATTAAGAGCAGTTATTTAATGACGATAATAATTGAATTGCGGAAAGCCCAAACAAATTAGATTCGAAGCCGCTGTTGTATACTTTTCCCTTGTGCTGCATTGAATGGCAAGTGACGTGACATAAAATCAATCCAAAGCAAGCCGGAAATTTGCATTTCTGGCCTGGTCGGGAAATTTCTGGTTGGCCAACTAGTCGAAGAGAGTATTCGAACTTCGATGGATGGGCACGCTGTCAATTGTAATTGAATTAAAACCAGGGTGGGGTTGAATCGCCATTAGAAATGTGCGTGCTCTTGTTTACCCACCCACTGCACCACCAATCACCCACTCAACCACCCACCCACAAGGCCATCAATTGGGCCCTTCCGCCGTCGAAAGCCAGGCAATTAGTGCACATTAAATCCCATAATGTTATTGTCAAAGCCGTGCACCTGATTAGCTGCAGTTCGTTGGCCAACTGATATTGGATATGACACAAGCCAACGGCCGAGGGGACGCAGGGGACGTGGCGGGGGTCTACCCAATTTAGTCTTATCACTCAGGTGACCCGTGCAGCCGAACACACATTGATTGAAAAATACTGCTCTAGTTTGCGCTTTTTTCGCCAGTAATCCGAGGCTTAGCGTAAAATTTCATGCACACACAAAAAGCAAAAACATTCATAATCAATTGGGTATTTTTGCATTTCAAAATAGCTAGCATATGAACGTTGACTTTTTTAATATTGTTGTAATATCTTTAATACTTGTAAAAGAATCAATAAGTATTTATTAGGTTGTTAAGAACAGCAAATATTTTTTAAACGTTTTTTAGAACAATATTCGGAATGGCTTGATAAAATACACGAGCATAAGGTAGAATGAAAAATGTTACTTTAAATAAAAACAAATGTATATTATTAAGAAATTCCTTATTGTGATTATTGTTTTTATTAGCTTAAAACATTTTTTAATAATATTTAATAATTTTTAATAGACGACTGGATATAAAAGTATTAAAATAAAATATGAAATTAATAATAAGTATAATTTTTATTTATTTTATTGGAATAAATTAAAATCTTCCGTATTATTCAAAAAATGTGAGCTGGGAAAAACATTTCAGTATACAACTGCTATTATTATTTTATCGGTCAAATGGTATCTGAAATCAATTTTACTTCCACTGAATTATTTGTTAATAATAACGTCCATCGCCTTATTAAATGGGACTTTTTAATTTTTTTTGTAATGCATTGAAAAGTAATACATTTTTGTAATATAAGCAATTATGTACATTATGGGTTGTACGTTTTTTTTTTAGCAATTAAACTAAAACTTTAGTACTCACCTCCTCCGTTCTGTTGGCAGAGGTAGGGAAAGCGCCAGATGTTGCCGAGGCCCACCGAGTAGCCGATGATGCTGAGGAAGAACTGCATCTTGCCGCTCCAGGCGGCCCTTTCGGGCTCGTTGCCCGGAATGTCCACCGACTGAACGGAGTTGCGCTGGGGGGCGGTGAGGACGATGGTCACCCCGTGGGTGCCGTCCCCCCGCGCCCTCGTGTTCAATGGAGCCATCTCGTGGCCGTTGCGCGGCGCATCGATGATTTTGGTGGCAGCCATCAACGTTCGCTCTTCCCTGGCAGAGTGTCCGTGGTTACCGTCTGCGGAAAAGTGGAGCAACCGGTTAGGAAAAGTGCCACCGCGAACGGGATTCGAATCCAAAGGCCCGCTGTTTGATCAATACTCCTCGAGTGTCTTTGTATGTGAATGTGTGTGAGTGTGTGCGAGTGTGTGTGAATGTGTGGGCTTGTTTGCCCATTTGTGTGGCGGTTCGTCCTTGAGACCACTTCTAGTGGCTGCTAACTCAATTTGCGTCCTAATTGTTTGCCATTAGGCGGGTTCTCCGCCGGTTAATGGAAACTTTTCGCCAGTCCACCCACTCTTGCTTATCCCCACCACTCCACTCACTCACTCAACTTTTGTAATTTTGTTACTATGTAAATTTGGTGGAGTGGCATGGGAATTCATGTAGCCTGTATAAGTCTGTGTATTAATTTGCTGCTTAAATTATGTACGAATACTTGCTAGTTTGCTAAGATAAATACATGTGAAAATGTATTCCTGCTTCAGAATTAACAAAAACGTACAAAAATATTTAATTTATATTCATTACGAATTCAATCTGAATGGAAATCGATTCTATTTTCCATTTCTTTTATACCCAATTTAATATCTTTTACAAATCAACACATATTTCGGAACCACTTTTTGGTATTTTATCTTTCCGTGTATGTTTTAATCACGTACATATGTGGAGGGTCAAAGGTTAATTATATCCTTAGTTTTGGCAGTAAACAAAACCAAAGCTCCAAGGACTGTTTACGAGTCAGTGAATCGCCCAGCCACCCACCAAAAACGTGACTTCCTGAACCTTGTTGCTCGGTGTAGAGGAGAGCCAAAAATTGTAGTCAACACCGCAGAAGGTCGTTGTAAATTGAAAGAGCAAGCGAAAAAAGAGCAAAATGGGGGGTTAGAATAAAGGGGGTAGAAAAAAAGAAGGGGGTGGAATGAAAGGGTGGGGGGGGGGGGTCGTTCTATGTGGTGGCCATTTACTTGGAGGCTCGTCCTCTGTTGCTGACGTAGTAAACTAGGGCTAGAGCAGAATACAACGCCTCGCAAAAGAGCGGGAGAGCCATGGGTGTGTTGTTTGGGGCAGCAGCTGTGTGGCAAGAAGCAGAAATTCACCACCGAGAGAGCGAAAGGAAAGCTCTCGGCGGAGCTTTTGGCGTCCTGCCGCTTCATTGATGGCCTTTGGGGGGAGGGTTTTTTTTGGCGGGGGGGAGGAGGAAGAACACACCTCCACAATATTGTATATATTCTCGTTCTATTCTTCCACATCTTGCGTATACGTAATGCGCTATGACGTCTTTTGATGGCTGCCTCATTTTCCAATTGCGTTTCCTTTCCCGAATCGCAACACCCACCCAGCCAAGCAGCCAGGCAGCCAACCCACCTCCATCCACTTGGGTAAATATTTATCCAGTTTAGACCGCCGCAAAATGTATCTCATGGATGCAGAAACCAAATAGTACACCCCCAGCTGCCACGACTCCGATTAAATTGCATGGAAACGGGCAATAATCACAATCACAGGACAGGCAATATGCACTTTTCCGCATTTCCACCCGCTGAGCTGAGCTGTCTCGGGAAAACTCTCGTCCTCTGATTACACAATCCGATTGCTGTTACGTAAACCGAGTGTGTGAAAATATTAAAGACTTGTGATTGTTGTGCTGTTGCTTTCTGCGTCGCAGTTTGATGGGTGGTTCGGTGGCTCAGTGGTTTGGTGGCTCGGTGGTTTCGGTGGGCGAGTAAATGGGTGTTTTCAATCACCGGCGTTTCTAAATAAAGCTCTGGCCAAGATGTGGCCGTGGCCCTGTCATTGGAAAGGGGTTGGCCCACTTGACCCCCACGGAAAGTGGTCCGAAACACAATGCTTAAATCGCTGCCGAAGGAAATTACTCAATGAGGGGTCGAGATTGCGGCTGATTGGCTCTGACAGGACCTAATTGAGGAATTGGTTTTCCTGCTTATGTAACTCAGGGATCATAGGAGATTACCCATCTGCTTCGGATTCGTATTTAAATGGATGGAAATATACTGGGTGAAAACAAAGCTACCCCAAAACTCACACTCAGGTAGAAAAGCTCTGGTCCTTAGCACACACAAAAAAGGACGAACCCAATTGCGTCGTGGCAAAAATGTTATTCCAAAAACACACAGTTCATCCCCTTTCAACTCGCGGGTTTAAAGCTTGCTGCCAGTTAAAGTGCCCTCCAAATAGCTAAATAAAAAAAGGAAAAAAAACGGAGGCAGAGATAGTATAAATAAAACTAGCAGGAGAATTTGATGACATGGCGTGTTGCATGCCAAATCGATAAGAACGGCTTTGCGGGTAAGGTGGAAATCAGGGGGCCCACCAGCTGTCTTTTCCTGTTCTGCATAAATCATGCAATTTGATTGCCAATGAAATACCCCGCAATCGATTTTGCACATTTTATTGGCTTATTGTTTGCGCTACGCTGCAATAAATTCACTGCGAACCGCACACAAATATTTCCTGATTTTCAAAAAATTTGAAATGCCAACTAATAGCACCATATTTGTGGCTATTTTGGGAACCTCTCGAAATATAAACAGAGAGCTATTGCGCAAGTTGTTCGCTTGGCTGCCAATATGCAATTTTGTTGCCCTTTGCTCTTGGTAATTGATTTGGCCATCGTTTGGCGCCAAGGCGAGAATTGCACCGAAAATCTACGAGGACAGTTTGGCCCCCAAAAGCCACCCACACTTCCGGTCCTCCGTTTGACCTTGATGCCCAGCCTTCGGTGCATTTTTTTCGTTTTTGGGGGTAGTCGCCTCTATTAGTTTCCTGGAAGTTGGCGCCAGACTGTTCGGAATGGAATTGTTCGGAGGCACTTAAAGCTGACTATAGGATTCCCCTCTTCGGTGTTGGATTACCTTCCCCAATCCCCCCATCCGGATTATTTACGCGTGCCTAACCTTGGCTGGGAAGAAGGAAAGTTTGTTTTGCAATAAAATTATGTAAATAAACGCAGCTGATGGTCGCACGGAGGAGCTATGGAAAGTTTCCAGCAATATTCGTAGCACTCAAAGCCCGACTTGAAGTCTCAAATAGAATGAGTTATATGATACCATTGAAATTGTCAGAATAAAAATTGTAAAAAGTGAAGTTCAAGGGAAATTAATTCACTTGGAAACGCTTGAAACTATTGTTTATTTTTAAAACACTTCACTTTGATTTATTTTATTACTCCCTTAAAGTGTGTATGAAGTTATAAAAACAAACAACTAACACACAAGCTATAAAAAATAACCTTTGGAACTATTGAAATTGCTTTGCTCGACTTACTACTTAATCTTATTTGCTTTTTAATTTTAGATATAAAAGATATAGTGCTTCATAGGGCTTTTATATTGTACCTATTTATGATTGTGTTTCCTTGAACTTTAATATGACATTGTCATGAAATATTTAAACTTTTAACTTTTAATTAAAGACTACATCTTATTTTGTTAGAAGATTACTAGGACATCTTTTCTTTTTTGTTTATAAAAATAAAGAACTATTATGCAACCATTAATATGGTTTATATTCTATGAGCATTTAATTAATTAATAATTAAAGGGCGTGGTTCAGTGAGCACGGCTATCCCTTCCCTGGATTTGTTATTCCTTTGTGCGACTTAACCTTTTGGCCCTAGAAAGCAATCGATAAGTGGCCAGTGTTCCACTCCCAACCCAAACAAGCCAAGCACAACATTAATTTTTCATCAAACAAAGTTCGTTTTGGCAGAAATGGGCGGACTGATGCACTTGTCTGGCGTAGAGTATTGCCAAAATACAGTGTACCAGTACCTTATATAGAACATATATACACCCCCCGCAGATGTCCAACTTTCGCTCTCAATCTAGAGAGAGATTTGGAAAGAAAGAGGGGGGAAGAGAGAGAAAGGGAAAGAGAGAGGAGGGAGGAAGCGAAATGCAATCAGACAGGCACAAAGTTCAATTTCTTGTGCTTCCCATCTACCGTTGTTTTTTTTTCTTTTGGCACAGCATCAACTGTTGGCCTGTTGAGGTCGATGAGGGGGTTGAGCTTTTGTGGCCCAAAACATCCCCTCGGCCAATGCCATTGCCAGCCCCAATGCATTTTATCAAAGTCTCCAAGAGAATGAACGAACGAGCGAATACGTTTTTTTACGATGTTTCAAACGTTTTTTATGGATACTTTAAGCGCTTGTATTATTTTACGATTACCTTGTTTTATTATGATTATTTTTTAAGGGTACCTTTCTTCGAGTTCTAAAGTATCCATTTAAAATCTTATTATTTATTGATCCATGAATTAAATGTGCTTACTTTATCATGTGCATAGCAAAAAATAAACTCAATTGAATTTCATATTAAAAAGTATTGTTTATGCAATTTTTGTACCATAAATAAGCGAAACCATAACAAATCAACTCAGCTGAAATCGCTTTAAGAAGCAAATTAAAAATTTTTGTTTACGCTGGCCGAAAAGTCAAATGATTAATCAGTTGATGTGTTCCCCTGCCAAAATCTGATTCTGTTTCCCATGTTCTTACAATGTACAATATATGTATATTGTAGTGTATGTCAACGTGCAAAGTTGAATGTTTTGCGGTTTTTCGCATTTTGTTGGTTTTTGGAACGCAAATTCGCTTAGAATGCACAAAAATGCAGATTTCCATTGGCGCTAAGGGCACGAAACAAATGAAATTAACATAAAGCTAAGTTCACTGTTTTTACGGAAATCCACGTGCATCCCCAACCCCGAAATTTTATGACAGGGAAAAGAAGAAGAGCTCCGCAGATAGAGAGAACCAGAGAGCGAGAGAAAGAGAGACAGAAAAGGACAGGGAGGAAGTCCTTTGTGTATATGTGTGTGTGTTAGTGGGCAGGACACGTCAAGCAGAAAGTTTCTCCTTGCTTTTTTGTTCCGTACCAAAGTTTGTCTTGTTTGAGGGACTCGAAATTCCAGGCTGCTTTAAAGCGGACTTTTCACACACACACTCGCGCGGTTTGGAAAATCACAGATTTTCCTCGATTTCCGCTTTAATACAGCTAAACGCTCGATATCAATTTCGTTCAACGAATTTCTGCGCTTTTCACACGGAGCTTTGCTCGATTTTCACGACCGTTGATTTGTGCTTTCCGTTGTAAACTGAATCCAAATCGCTTGGCGCCGCGCGAATCATGGTAGAATAAGTACAAGGTAGTCTCGTCGGTCCGTTAGACCGTTAACAACACCTACAATGAGTGCGAGTGAATGGGTGTTTTTAAACAAGTGCGAAAGAAATAGAAATACTTCAATGTCGCAGGATCACCAGCGCTCAAAAGTGCACCCGAGCTTAATCGGACTGAACCGGAACGGTTTTCTTTCTTTCTTTTTCTTTCTCCAAAACTGAATTTAAAAAAATTTTTGGAACCGGTTAATCGGTTAAAAACCAAAGGTGAGTTCTATATCGAACCCAAGAGAGCCCAACGTTAACGGACCAAATTCAAATCGCTTGGCGCCGCGCGAAGCTTGCGAATTTCTGTGGTGGGTTCGAAGCAATGGTGAACTAACCACCACCAGCGCATAACCAACTCACACACACTCACACAAGTGTGACGCAGGACTCTGCATGGAAATTTTCGGCTGACGGCGGGTTTTAAATTGGGCAAAGCTTCACTTTCATTGATTGCCGTACACGGAAAGGAGGCCAAAAGCTGCAGGAGCACGTGGCTTTTTGGGGGTTGAAAGTTCAAATGCCGCCGCTATCGCTTGGTGGTGGTTGATGAGAGGGAGGGAGAGACAGCAAGAGAGAGAAAAAAAGAGAACAGGACCTAAGACCATGAAAATCTAACTTTCAAAACTAAAAGACAATGTTATTCAGATCGATAAATAATAATAATTTTTTAAATTCATAAGATTAAATAATAAGATTTCAATCATCAAAACTAATAATAATTATCAAAGAAGGAAACATTTGTACATTTACTTCAAACATATTTTAAAACAACCGCCAAGAAAATTTAAGTTTTGTTGCATGCTTTGAGGCACCAACATTCTACTGTCCCACAGATGGCGCACGTTCTATGTGTGACCTTTTAATGTAAAGGTAATCGATGTATCTGGCAACGATAATCGATAAGCATCACCAAACAGCGCGCAGTTTAAAATTATCGAATATTATTATGAATTCCAAAATTTTGTATTGTTAATGTGTGCTTAAAAGGATAGGTTTATTTTTTATAAAATATAAATAATTTCCGAATTGGTAAATTAAAATTTAAGCTCCCGTTTAAAAATTGTTAATTCTTGTAATAGTAATTTCAAGTTTTGTAGTAAATCAGGTAATCTTAAAGCTAATCTTTGAACAAATAGAGTATAAATAATAAATACCATACCTTACAAATGACATTGACAAAACATAATATTATATTATTGAGCAACAAACACACAAATTACCCGTAAGTTAACTTAATTCTGTAAAGAGCCCACTGAAACAAATTTAATAAAGGATACTTTAAATACTTTTAATGAGAAGTGTGCGTTTTATGTTAAAGTCCTTTACAAAAATTAAATCAAAAGTCAACAAAACGGGCAAATTAAAATGAAAAGGGGAAAAAATCCTAGTGAACCTGACAAAAATGTTAAAGACTTGGCCCTGACTCGAAAAAGGTTAAACATATTCCCCTTGTACACAAACTCGTAATGTTGTTTCGTGGCCAGGAAAAAAAAAGAAAAACAATGGCAGCCTCGCGAACAACAGAGACCGTCTTGCTGCCCCGAAAAAACCAAATCACAAATATTGTTTGACCCTCATTATGTTTGAAATTTGCTTTCCCAGGCGCAGCCAGCCAAAGAGAAGCACATTAAAGATAGGATGTGAACAAAAGAGCTTATTAACTTTCCCTTCGCCGAAGCTTTTGTTACCCTGCTTAACAAAAAACAAAGTTGCCCAAAAGCCCATATGCATACAGTTATCCTTTTTAAATTACTCAGTGCTTTAATTGTGAAAAATGTACTTTTTACTTTGTTCCGGAAGATTATTTTGCAAAGAATGTTTGCAAGTGCCATTAATAACTTTTACTTTGTTAATCAAGTAACTAAAAACTCAAAGGAAGTAAGCTTTGGGTTATAAAAGTGAACCTTTTAAGTTGGAGCTTTAGACCTGCGACTCTATGAAGAGTATCCTTTTCAAGAGCCCTAAAGAAGGAGACAGCTTAACACAGCAAAGAGGGTCGAACAAGAAGAAAAACAGAAAACGAGGAAGGCCTGTAACTAAGTAAGATGTGCACAAAGTTAGTTTTCCTTTCCTTTCCGTGTTCGCTTTCCCTTTTTCCTGCCTGCTCGTAAACTCATTTGCCTGGCACGCTGACAAGAACAGGCCAAAAAACAACCGGCGGCAAGTTTTCAGAAAATACAGTAAAGTAAACATCTTTGGCGACCCGTGGGCAGCCCAAGAATGCGTCTCTCCCGCCCCAAAGAAAATAATACAATTTAATATAAACGCCGTTCTTGTTGTTGTTTCTGATTCTGCGCTGGGCCTCAGTCTCAGTCGCGTTCGACTCATTGAATTTTCCGTAGAATATATATTTTTGTTTCGCATTGACACGCTGCGCGAATAATACGCCTAAGCGTATGCAATGAAAAATTCAACTTTTGCATAATCTGGAAAAACTTGCGCACGCACGAAGGTAAACAAATTTGCACGGCGATGGCAGAAGGTAAATGAAAATGTACTAAAACTGAAGCACGACGCTTAGAAATTATGCAAAAATAAAGAGGGCTGAAAAAAGCGAATGAAGAGAACGAACACAGAGAGAAAGAGTCATCAATATTAAACAACTAATCAACAATATGGTAAAAATATTATATAAATTTATTACTATTATTCATTTTAATAAAAGATATATATGTAAACCTAATGTGACAAAAGAAAATTATATATCATCAAACAAAAAATTGTAACCTAACAAACTGGCGTTCTGACTGCTTGAAAGTCACATAAAATAGTGTTTTTTTTTTTAGTGCACGCTCAAAGTAAAAAGTGCGATAAAAACAAATGCGTCTTCTTCTCGGGCATTTTAGCCTCCACTCCTCGGCGAGGTGATTATCCATAATCCCCCGAAAAAAAAAGCGTCCGTGTGGCTGGCGGGATTGAATGACTAAAGACAAAGTTTTCCCTCGACGGGAAGATAAATACGGGTACTGCTTTTGCTCCTTCTCCTGCCCCGCAGCCATGTCCTTCCCCCAGAAATAAGGACATCCCCCATCCCTCCTCCAGCCACTACGCACCACCCACAATGCCACCTGCAGGATATCATGGGTATCTTACCTGTCTAGGACGAGATTCAGGCGTTAATATTTTTAGCTGCGCTGGAATTTGTAGTCTGGCAGCGATAAAGCATCTTTTCGGTGACAATGAATCGGGGATAAAGCATTTTACGTGCCACCGGCTGCCAAATAAAGTGCTCCTCTTCCCCAGCTGGTGCGGGTTTGTTTTTTCAGCCACGTCGCTGATTTCGCATAAATTATGCAAGTACATTTTACCCGAGAGTGTAACATGCAGGCGACCGAATCTGCGGAGCGGCCAAAGGACCAAAAGCAGACCTCAAATTCCGGCTAACAAATTACAAATGTGCTTTATATGCAGTAAAAACACGACATTTCTGTATAAGGATTGGTGGGTCCAAATTTAGCTTCGTTTTTACACAGCAAAAAAACCTGATTTAAATTAATTTGTGCTACTTTAAGAGAAAATATGCAAAATAATAAGGTTCGTTCTGGAAATAGAATTTAAAAGCAAATGTTCTATTTATATATGTAAACATATTCGTTAAATTCTTATTCTCAGTTTCCATTAACAATCACGAACTTCTTCATAGACAGCAATCTTAAATGTTTACATTTGCTGTGCAGAAAAAAGGCAAAAAAACATAAAGTGACCGCAAAAGCCACACGAAAAGCATTTGCATTTGAAGCTGAAACAGAATTAGGTTTGTTAGCCAAGCGAAGTGTATTAATGAATTTCCACTCCACCTTTGGCCAGTCAAACAACATTCTGAACGAATCGAATAAAAACGATTTCGAGGTGCATTTGACTGGAAGACCGCAAGCCAAATTCCTCATATTCCGCATTCGTTCCGCTCCACCTCCCATGGAACCACCCACTAAATAACCCTCTGAACCACCCACTGTACCAACCACTGAGCCACTGAGTCCTTTGGCCATGACAGGTGCACCTGCTCCTGCTCCTGCTCCTGCTCCTGCTGCTGACCCTTGGCAACAGGTTGCAGGTGAGGTTGGTTGCCGGACTTTGGTTGACTGGCCAACTGGCTATTGCCCCTGACACATTTCCAACGACATTGTCTTCGCCCAGGAAAATGCTCCCTTTGCATGGGGAGCGAAATAAACCCATCTCTTTAATGGGCCGGGGAAAACATTACTCCGCCTGCCATAAACATGCAATTTTATAGACGCCCCGTTGCGTTTCCATTGCCACGTTTTACCTTTAATCGAGAATGCTTCTGATGACCACACTGTATGTCCTTGTATTTGATAACAGGAGTTGAAAACAGATAGTGATTTTTAGGGATTCTTAACTTATAATAAGTTCCTAAAGTTTCTAAGGCAAAAACAGATATACAAAACGATTTAGGTTACTATCAAAGTTGAAACAATAATGTGGTACTATAATAAATAGCTATTCAATCTTCTTATTAATGAGTGATACCTACTCAGATATTTTTTTTATATAACTATTATAGTTAATGTGAAGTAAAATCTTATTCAAAACCAATATCACATTATATTACATCCAATGTAGTTTCATTTTATCACTTGCTATTATCTGATGCACAACAACCCAAGACACCTAAAAAGTAAAGATCTATCGGGTTAAGCGGAAGAGAATCGCCAGCAGGGAATAAGTAACTAATCCAGCAATTTGTAAGCAACACTACGAATAAGTAGACGCTTAAATAAATGCCCAGAGCAGCAGTCATCCTGGCGATTATCCGATTCGAATGGGCAAAAGGACTCGAATGCCATAACAACACTCGTCAGAGTCGCAGTGAATTGACTCCTGTCTCTTCACACCTGCCATTGTGTGCTAATTTGCAACGGTTATGTAATTTTGTGGGGCGTTTTGTA